GCGTCGAAGTCGGAGGCCGAGAGTCCGTGTGCGAGTTGCACAAAACGGAGCGGAGCAACGCCCTGAAAGACGACGCTACCCCCTCGTACACCTCGTACAGTACATACAGGTTAATCTTGAGCCCTGTAAGTGCGGGATTGAGCGGGCGTAGAGGCAGCGGACGAATCGCGGAGCGGAAATAGGGCTTTGTAGACGGCAGTTGAGGAGATCGGCATGCATGGAGTGGTTGGTGGTGGTGAGGCGTCTAATCTGACTTGCATATCCCACCTTGACTTGGACGGTCATGAGGCCATTCACACCGGGTGAAAACGGACGGTGGTGCATGCGTACAGCTACTCAATGGAGACAACGTTTCAGTCCGTGGAGCTTCCAGGGAAATACCGCGTGTCTTTGCGTATTTTCGAGGTTATTTGGAAGTCTACCGCACACAGGTTGCTAGGTACTCACGGAGTAGTTCTAAGAAACCTACTCTAGACTATTTAGTTTCCTTCCACCTAACCATAGCAATGGCTTGTGTCGGTGCCGATGCGGTGTCCGATCTGCCAGTAGCGTAGGTAGTCCAGGACTCAGTAGTCCGCACAGGGTGCAAGCCTCTACCGTGCTATGCAGTAGGGTAAGTAGAGTAATGTTGGTTAGGTGTCTCCATACAGGGGATGACTGTCATGCATCGAATTTTTCTAGAAGCAAGATGCGCTCTCTTTGTCCACAATGCCAAGCTTTTTTTTTTCGCATCGCCTGAAGTCCTCCACACAAAACGGTGCAAATTAAGGTAGAGCCATGTAAGTGGATGTGGATTAGAGCGATGCCGAGGCTTGATGCCAGCCCCATTTGTCTCCTCCACCGCGACCTACCTAGCGAGCCTAGGTACGCTATGTCATGATTAATCATTCACAGTCTTGACGGTGCGGTGCCGTTTGAAGCGGTAGTGCGTCCGCATCTTATCAATCTCCGCAGGCTCCTTTTTACACCCGCTGCTATTGCTGATTGGAAATCATGTCAATGTAGGCTGCTCGAAACGGAATTTTGTACACTTTTTGCAGCTAGATGCCATTGATGATGCCAAGTGTTAATTAATCACAGCCTGCTGAGATCATTTCATTGCTGATCTCCAGATCCCAGACTGAGTAGCCCTGCACAGACCTTTATTGTCACCGCCGCGATGATAAAAGCCGCGCCGGGGAGGTGAGTCAATTCGCCGGCGGGATTCGGAGGTGGGCATCGCGAAGACTCCCGCCCCCGAGACCGCTTAGAGATGGCCCGCAGCAAATTTTTTGTTTATGCATGAAAGAAGTACGAAAAAAAAAGCGCTGTCAAATTTGCCTAGTATGGTATTGATAGGTCTGTAAGAGGAAGGGATGCGGCTAAATTGCTATGGAATAAACTCTGTATCTCTCATCAGCATCAAGAGTGACTTGTGTCATCTCATGCTAGCGCCATTACGGATTACCCAAAGGAGTAGTAATCGAATACGCTCTTACTCTGGACCTTGCTATATACGCCTTGTCTCGAGCTTATCTACGAGTGATAGCGTACAGTGTCGCGAATGATGGCCAGGAATGTCAAGATCAACGTTTCTGGTAAGTGGCCCTCACGTCAGTGCAGGATAGGATTGTAAACTATTGATGTATCACATCAACTTGAGATAGCCGCGATTAGTATTGTAGATTACATTCGTTGGACATGAGGTACGCCGTGCCAACGAGAGCGAGACTGAGGCTTACTCACATTACGGCGCCAAATCCACGGTTCCTGGATCGTGGCTTCCTACTTATTCATGGCCGTACAGGTCAAGCCTATTACCGATTGCCAATTCAGGAAATGACGGCTCACAGCTCTCAGTGACAGGGGTTCAACGCTGCCCTGGCGGTACTGCATTTCATTTCTATCGTCAACTACAACAGTCAGGCCAGTAAGACTAAGCTATCAGGGTGTCATGAAGTTGTAGAAAAGTAAAAACCCAGTAGATTGTCATGAATAACACCTCTCGGATAGCGCACCCAAGGCGTCGAGTGGAGATTGTGAATCGGACGATATCAAGGGCCTCACTCAGCCTTGGAAACCAACCAACAAGATTCTTGAGCCTCCTCTAGGTAGGTAGCCAGGATATTCATGATGAATCATATACTGCGCATTACATGGCAGCAGCCACTGGGGAAGCTACTAATAAACGGCGGTCTGCATGCATCTGGGCATTCCTACATGCCAGCCAGCTACCACCCACAGCTGAGTGGCTGTCTCTAGTGATAATAGGAGGAGCAGCAGCATCAACAAGGTGGTGACCGATTTCATGTGCGTGCCTCTAGCCTCCTCCTTTTGCCACACGGCGGAGAGGATTGCACATGCTGCTGCTGTCGTTACCGTCGTCGAGTTTACCTTTGGAAGGTCGGCGACGGTGTGAAGTATCAGCATCGGGAGCCGAGATGGTGTTTTGGTCCGTTAAACTCTGAGTCTAGTTCGTCATAATACTGGGGAATCTAGTCAAGTGCCACAAAAACATCCCTGGACTTCCCTAGCCTCCCCAGCCCTCATGTCTTTACAGCGCGCTGGCCAGTGGCTACTGCTTCGAGTGCTCCTACCTACTACTGCGCTGCCACCAGTGCCCTGTGCACAAGCTTCCACTCTCTCAGGTGGACAGGACGGAAGCGGAAAGGAGGCCCCACTTATCCAAGCATCTCGGCCTCTCTGCCGGCACGCAACCATCCGCGATGTGATTGTGCAAGACGCTCAACGATACAGAGCAGTGGTTATGCCTGATCCTGACGAGCGATCCCAATTCCTGGCTGGCCCGTGTTCCTGATCTTCTAGCTCGTTCCGGAGGGTCGTTTTCTGCGAAAGTGACCGAGCAAACTGCGGCAGCTTAGCGCGTAAGCTGTGTACCTAAGCGGCGAGGGATGGACTCCCAAGCAACAGGACAATCCCCTTGACCAGAGCAGGTGAGTCCAGGGGGCCTGGACTTGCTCAGGGCCAGCTTTGTTGTCTCAGTGTCAGTGCCAGTGCCAGTCGCAGCCAGCGTGAAGCCCCACGGAGAGTTTCCTAGGGGCTGGCATGCATTGGCTTACTCAGGGCTCCGTGTCGGGGCCGCTCGTTCGAAGAGGCCGATGTATCCCCTTGTACCTGACGGTACCCTTCAAGACGACCAAGCTTCTTGGTCCCCATACCCAAGTGAAAACCAGACGCAAGCTATGCATAATCGTCCCGTTATGGGTCATATCGAGAGCGAGGTCTTGATATCATGTCATGAACCAGCAGCCCTGTCAGGAATAATTGTGGAAATCATCAGGACAGATATATAGATCCAGGCGGCCGGCCGTTTCTCAGCTGTGATACCCTCTTGCTTGTCTCTACCACTTTGGCTTGGCCATCTCGCGGAAGGATAACGCTGGCAATTACTCTTACCTGCATCCTGCTCACCGTGTGCGTGTTCGACGTAAGACTTACACGCGCGGCGCACAAGCCTCTTCTATCGTGAATTGGAATCATCTTCCTTGCGATTGACCTAATCCGCTCTCCAGCTCGTTCCAGGAGGGTTAAGACGACGACACTGATTTCCTGATATATAAGAGAAGCTCTCCTCTTGTCATCTTCACACACACATACCCACCCCCCTTGCTCGTTTGCCCAAACTCGACTGGCAGCCTCTTTTGGGTCTCAATATTCGTGCTATTGTCAGATCTCCCATCAGACTAAGAGGGGGATTTCCAATCCTGCATTTAACCCCAATAAGCTGGCGCAAGCCCTCGGCCCCTATTCGCTCTCCGTCCAGCATTCGGGCGATCCTCCAGAAAAGCACCGTCCATTTAATACAGCGGACCCAGGGGTTCAAAAACGGCACAGACACACAAAAAGTTCTCCGTTTTCAGCGGCGCGAAAAAAGGCACTCGAACAGACCCTGCTCGCCCACCCGCCTAACTCTCGATTGAGTAACGTATACGATCAGGCAGGAGAACAACATTCGCAAAGTCTCACGCAGGATTACAGTGCATCACATTAAGGCATTTAGGGGGCACCAAAGCACTCTGCATTCTTGGAACACGACCCCACTGTCATTCTGCGACAGACGAGCCTGCTTCGCCTATTTGTCTTGTTTTAGGGGACCGAGGTGTCTAAGTGTGAGTACGTTGTATACGTACTTCCACAGTATAATACCTGCCTGGCCTGCCTCTCCCCCTACCCGTCTAGTAGCGCTCGCATTCGCACGCACACGGGGAGTCGACGTCTTCAGTTTGCCCGTCCTCGGACATAAACAAGTCACCGACCGTTAAAGCCACCCTTCAGAGACCCCGAAAACGATAAGTCCACGGTGACCAACACTGTCGTTCTGTGGGACGCTGCCGAGCGGGAGTGCGCTGGGATTTAAGTTACTTGCACTTACACCAACCCTCTAATACCGCGACTCATATCACATAATCTTGCGCGCCCTTGACCATCAGCCTTATTTTGACATTATTAATCCCCGAGTCATTTTATCCTCGAGGCTTATTGAAGCTTTCTCTTTCTTGGCTGGCTACATACCTTCTCCGTGGACCAGCGGACTGGGTCTTAGATCCTTCTTGTCTTACCTCAACTCTTTTTCTCCTTTAATACCACCGGGCGGCTCGTCACTGGAAGCTGTTGTGTGTGTCGCACCTACACCTACTACTTCTGCTGTTCTGCCCCTCCCCCACAACAACTTACACACCAGCCCAACACCCTTCACCACCACCAACATACAACAGTATAATAAATAACAAGCGGCCGCCGACCCAGATTGTCGGGACCAATTAGTCAGGATGGAACACAATTTACCTACTCCCCCGAGGGAGGACCACGTCAAGTCACACAGTTCCAAGAAGGGCTCGTCGAGTTCAAAAACAGTCAAATCAGTACACCGCAGCTCCAAGCGCTCAAGTACACACTCGCATCCCCAACCTACCGCCCCAACACACCACCATGACAGCCACTCGCATTCAATGGCCGACGGAAGGCACAAGAGAGTTTGGAAAGCCTGCGAGAGGTGTAGAATGAAGAAGACAAAGGTAAGTCAGATAATATTATCTCGTGCAATTTACATGCCTTCATCAGTTCATTCACTTACACGGATCAACAGTGTGATGGCGAATTCCCGTGTAAGCGATGCAAAGATGATGGCCTTGTCTGCACTGCAGGAACGCGGAAGAAGACTGAATATAAGCAACTGCCCCGAGGGTATGTATTGGAAAGATTTTGTCTCCGGGGTCCACTCTGACTTACACGAAACTTTAGGTATGCCGAGGTGCTTGAGAACACCCAGTTCGCTCTCATTGCCACAGTGCATAAGCTATACGCGATGGTCCGCAGTGGCCAACAGTGGGATCTCGGTGAGCCGGATCTGAATGATCGCGGCCAGCCGGTGATCCATAACATTGCCTCCAAGCTCGGCTGCATACGACCGAACAGCGACATGGACCTTCCAGTTCACTCCGTCTTCCCGGAAGACGAGGCAGGGCTCGCAGAATTGGCGGCACAATTGGAGGCGCAACAAAGGGAACACGACACGCATCCGGGTGTGAAGGCCGAGACCGACTCGAGTTGTAATCGAACCGACCGCGCAAGCTCATCGGAGCTCGATCACTCGGACTTTGAGCAAGACTATCGCAAGGCAGCTTTTGGTGGAAACACCGTGACTCTTTCGCCACAGAGCCTCTCGTACGACAGCTTCGACGGCTACTCAGCTCCATCGGAGAGCTTAGCTACGCAGTCACCTACCGTACCAACCTCGTACGCCCCATGGACGGCGCCTCGACAGGCCACCACGATGAACTTTGGTCCCCAGCAATATTTCCAACAACCAAATTCCTACATGGACATGGATATGTTAAATCAGGGTCTCATGGAGTCGGAGTTTGGAACCATTAAGCCACACATGCTCTCATGTCCCAACCCCGAAGTGATGATGGGCGTTGGCGACCCGATGATCTACTCTGGCTACGACGGCGAGACATTACGATTGTAATCAACACGGCGTTGCATGCACGGACTGGAAGATAAAATCAAAAGAGGGCGCCACAAATCAAAAGATTGGGCACGCTACGATGGATGACAATAGAAGGCGCATGTGAGAGATACCGGCCGGTTACTGCAAAGTGGTTTACAGGACAGGCAAGGCGTTTAAAGGGGCCGGGTTGGTTGCTTTTTTTTTTCTTCAAACGAACGCACTTCCTCGCCCCCCAAGAACATCTGGGGTTTAATGCTTGAGGAGGAGTAGCAGGAGGCAAAGGACGAGGATGGACTGGAGACTGGAGACTGGAAACAAACGTGATGAGGTGAAGCTACTGTACAACAACGACGACACGTTTAGTGTCGCTGCATTGCAGGGCGCTAGGCTCTGGATCAAGCGTCTGAGACTCTTGGGTACTTGGGATGATCATTGTTAATGCTCTTCCTCAGATCAGTCAATCGCTGCTGGGAAGCACTTAAGTCCTGCCCAGGTTTAACGGCCGGGCCCATTCACTCTCCTAATCAAACAAAGTTAATCAACAACGCTCGCAATTTTTTCATATTCTCTACTTGATGGATCTCATCTGACTTGACTTCATTGACTTGCATGTGAACGAACTGCCGAATCTTACAACGACCAATTCGCCGAATATTGCTCCCCTCAGAGTACCACCCGATCTCGGTATCCATGAAGCACGCAAACCTTAATAATCCCCGTACAGTACGGTAGATGTTACACAGCGACCACCTCGCCGAAGGAACGTGGTTTCGCCGTACATAACCGCATATCCCCGCCTGCGTTCTACTTACTGTGCAGTACAGCACACAGCCAGACCGATCGGGGTTGACATAAACCCGTTCGGCAAGACACAGCGTATGCTGATGCACACATCTGACCCTCACTTACACGGACGGAAACCTCCAAGACGGCGACGACTTCAAGATTCCAAGGAAACCCCTCGGGCGATTTAATTTCACGACACGCAAGACGAACCCACCGCGCTTTGCACTGCCTCGCGGGGACCCCTAGGTGAGACCGTTTTTCAGGGCATTCGGGCAATCGAAGCGAAAGCGACGAAAGCGAGAGACCTGTAGGTGTCATGCAACGCAGCATGGGGGGACCCCTTAGCCCTAAGGCGTAGAAGGTTCGACGGCGCGGGTCGTCGTCATGGAGAGCAAAGCCACAGCGCCGTGAAATTGAGAGTGCCCCAATCCGGTTGAGCTATCCAGCCAGTCAGCAGTGCCGTTCGCATCCCGTACATGGATGATGGACTGGCTTGGCTGGCGCCTTAGATGTTGCTGTGGATATACGGATATACACAGCAAGCTACACGCAGCGTACTACCACTTACTTACAAGATACGAAAGAAAAAGTTTCACATTCTGCTGCCGTTCGTTTCCTCACTAATGCCCAATTGAACGGAGCCAAGCTCGTTGCCTGATGCGGTAAGCGGGTAGGAGTCATCCTTCATGTCGATTCTTACTTCTTACTCCACAGAGAGAGGGCACGTATCATTGCATTCACTCACTCACTGAACCATGATGCTGGGGCCCATTGGTACCTGCACTGTCACTGTACCGACTGGCGCCCGTAACACGCTCGCCAACCAGCAGCCCGGACTTTGATACAGGCCCGTCTTACAAGCTGCAGATTTTGATGGCGTCGCGCGCGTCGCTGACCGCAGCAGCCATGGCGGTGATGACTTGTTCCTCCTCTCAAGTAGCTAACTCATTAGGTACTGTTAATGGTTCCTAACTGACGCAAAGTGACACATAAAACTGGAATCTGCGCGCGCGAGCGTCCTGGGGGCGCGGCCGCATGACTGGACTGGCAAGGCAAGCCCTGACACGAAGTACAGGAGTTAGACCCTTTCGTCTTTGAGTGTTTGCCGAATCGGGTAGCAGTGCGAAGGTCCTAGATTCAGGATCCAGCCCTAGTGCATAGTACTATGCTTTGCCTCTCACGCCAGTAACTGATTAACGTTAGTAGTACAGTACTCGACTCTAGTAGGGGAAGGACAAGGTGGGTGTCAGCGTTCCCAGCCAGCCATTTGGGGGTGGGGGATGTCAAGGTTCCTGGAGGGAGAGATTTCAAAGATCGGGGTTTCTTAACAGCCCGCTGGCCGCGTGCCACGACTAACCGGCGGGCGGAGTTCCGTGTGCCTGCTGCTGGCGCCGGCGCTGCTTTGGAAGAGTAGCACCGTAATAAGGGGCGGGATAGCTAGCTACCACACGCGTGTAAGCTGGCTGGGCCATACAATGCTGTGCCCGAGCTATCTATCTACCTTGTGTTCTCCGCAGTGTTGCGGAAGGTACCTGCGGACGAAAGATGGACGAGCTACTTAGCCAGCGGAACATGCCTATGCTGAAGAAGAAGTAAGAAGTAAGGAATGGTGGCTGCAGCCCAGGCTGCATGCATCTTGGGGCTCAAGAGAATGATAGGATACCAGGCATTCATTCATTGCGCAGAACACTGCGTCGTCGTCAACATTGGTCCTTTGGATCTGCCGAGCACCGAGATCACGAAATTGCCATCTACATGTCATATTCACAAGAGATCTAAGCCCTGGAGGGCCCTGTGGACACATTGCGTCAGGTCTAGAAAAGTTTCACAGGGTTTACATGGAATCCCTTAGATGCTGGTGCGGCAGTAGAGAAAGGTTATAGCAGGATCAGACGAGACGGCCGCAAAACGGTCGCATTACGGTGAGAAGGATCTAACGAGATCCAGGTAATGCTCTGTCTTTGGATGTAGTCTGCGGCACCCGTCTGCACTAGAGTAATTGGTTAGCCTAGCCTTATGGTAGTCGGTTCGGTCAATCCTTCCACTGCAAGCAGCATTTTCGGACGACGACTCGCTGCCTTATCCGAGACCCTCCTCGGATTCGGGGTGGGAATAGTATCATCAGAGACACCATTTTTGATGGTATTCCAATCTCCCTATAGTGCGCATCTTGCAAGATGCGTGGTGAGACTTCACGTCAGGTTCGACTGAAACCGGGGAAGATGCGCAACTGGGCGTCCAAAGCTATTCCTTCAGGGTAAGGTAAGGATCGACTCCGGCGGCGGTGGACTAGACTCGCGGAATGGGACCGAATCCGCGAGGTTGGTAAGCTGGGAATGTCTTCATACCTGATCGAGTTTACTGTATGACCTTTTCTTCTCAGACTTTTGTGCTCGCCGTCTCGGGTGCTTCCCGGACCCGTACGGTGGGGGCTCCAGGGACCCTTAGCTGCCTTACCTTTGACCTTCTTCGATGGGCGCTCCAGTCTCTCATTCGCAAAGCTCAGCGCATCAGGCCTCGCCGTTGTCTCCAAAAGTTCTCCAATTTTTATTTTATTTTACTTTATGCTCGGCATGCGCTCGGGTCTTGGCAGACTTTGTGCAAGAGGACCAAGCCCTTGAAGGGACCCCGTGGACCCCAACCTCCGCCGACCTTTCGGTGTTTTCGCAACTTTGCGCGCGGCTTATGGAGCAGCCCAAAGTCACCGAATGCTCTGTCCACAGTGGTAAACCCTCCGAAGATTACCTAAGTTCCTGTAAACCCCTTGATGATTCATCAACCGCGCGGGAAACGGCACTCAACGCTCAACTGGGCAAATACCACCTCACGGCGTAGTGACAATGAATACCCTCCTCTCGACGGGATAACCAGAGACATCTTGGCCTACCTGACTGGTCTTCTCGGCCATCAACCATCAAGGGCCTAGACTGACGCCGGGTTTAGCAAACGAGCGCGAACTCCTTCTCCGCGTCGTCGGCGATAGGCTCTCCCTAATCTGGATGAGACAGACAATTTCGCCTGGCAGATCGGAATAACAAAGACGGGCGGTCTATGGCTCCATGCAGGGCCTCGAAGGCGCAGTCTATGGGTAAGGTTTTCTTCTACCAAAACGGTCATGCCCCCCCAGTATGCGACGCCTCGCACGCGGACCGTCAAGTTTTCACAGTATGCCTCTATCTCCCCGCTGTCCCCAGTGTAGAATAGCGTTACTTACGTGTGTTGGGGCCACCCGGCCCCGTTTCCCTTTGATTCGATCGATTTGATCATGATTTGATTGTGATATCGCGCGCTCTGCCCCTGGAAAATGACACACACTCTTCCGCGGACCTTTTCTGCCGGTGATATCGCAAATTCGAGATGTTCTCTAAGCAGATAGTGGAAGGTCCGCGGCTTAGCGGTGCAGAACTTCCAAGGAAAGCGATCTGGGAAGCAGTATCTTGCTCACAGTTGCTCTTTCCCTCGAATAGCTGCATGTGTACTCTGTTCATGATTCTATGCAAGCCAATGCCGTGCAGGCGGTCTGCCTTCTTGGCATAGACTGAGCATGCACCCCGCGATGCTGGCTGGGTTACACGCTACTTGCACCGGGCGCTGGTCGTACCATTCGGGTTTTTTGACGAGTACGGTTGATACGAGGCACAGATACGCGTACTCGGTCCTTATCTGCCTGCAGCCACCCAACTCTACAGTAGTGTAGGTATAGCTACGCTCTTCTCGTTTTCCCCTCTCTGTGCTTGGGTCTTGGCTACGACAGGTTGCGTACGCGCCAAACGGACCTTCCCGTGCCTCCCCAGCCCCGAGAACGTGTAATTAACGTTCTCGAAGAGGCAAATACTCTCTTTGCTTTGCTGCGCCCAGCAGTCTTCGTCATCCATTCATTTCAGGTAAACGGCCTATCTGCGTCGATCTTGGCCGTGGGTATCATGTGCGTGCGAGGTCGATGGGGTCGAGCCAATAGTCTGCTCTTGGACGAGGACTTGGAGGCGTGGCGCCCAGCGCAAGATCCATGACCGCCCCAGGTTGGCGCTGCTGCTTGCTGCTACTACTGCTGTCTCTTGCGTCAATGCCCAATACGCAAGACGCGAGACTGCCCTGCAACTTGTCTCGTTCTTCTACATGGGGGAAAGTGCGTGATCAACCCTGCACACATCCCATCGAGCTACCTGGGGGAACCTCCAGGGACTTGTGTGACTTCTGGAGACTTCCTCAATATACTCGTGCCTTTCAGCAGGTGGGCCATCAGGGTAGCACCTTTGTCGTAGAGTGGCCTTATGTCTGATGGAGATCATGAAACACACCGAGATGAAGGCGGCATTCCCAGAGACGTGGTTGCGCTATGGCCTAGTGTCTTGGAATGTGTGTAGGTTAATGCCAACAACCATCTCGGGGGCGCACGCGGATGAAGCTCTGAGGCGTCTGTCAAACTCAACTGCCTGCCTGCCTGCCTGCCTGCCGTGATCATCTTCCTGGCTGTCCTGCTTCCCGGTCTCTTCATTTGCGTGATGTCTCTTTGCGCCCGGTTGCCGTCGGCCGGCCTCACTGTCCACCGTCCGCTCCGGCTCGGACAGTCCGACGGACCGAGCTCATCACAAGATGAAGGCTTCGCTGGGCACGATGGAAAATTGCTCCTGTTGACATCGGCCTCGTTGATGTCATATCATGAACTAGCAAGCAGGTAATTTATCACATCGGAGATGTAGTCTCGACGATCGCCCCTATATTGACCATTCCATTGGGCCGTTTCCGTCACAGCGCCAGACATGAAATAGGGGGGGTTAGACCGCCTCCCCCTAACCTATCCAGGTGACAAGAAGATTCAGACTTTGTCGGAACTTGTGCATGACATAACAAGCCTCCTGTCAAGTCAAAAGCCGAGGAGGCTCCATAAATCTTGGGCGACAGGACGGAAGTTACCGCGCGCGGCGGGCATCAGGGCTGTCGTTCACAGGCCGCTGAATAAGTGGTCTGATGCGCCTCTCGCTGTATGCAGTGGCGGCACGGGTTTTGTACTTCGGGCCCTAGACATGTCCGACGGAGTCGCCTGGGCAGCGTCGTCCGGTATCTCGGACGGTGGCCCTTGACCATTGTCCGTTTTGACTGTCCGAGTAGGCGATGATGCCCGCCTCTTGAGTAAAGAAAATGATTGTTGAAACAGTGAGACAAGTGTGTCGTTTGCTGCTGCTGTGAATTCGGAATATGATTCTCAGTATAGGCATTTACAGCAATGTATATTCAGTCGCCATGAGAAAAAGTGGTCAGTCTTCTACCCTTTCATTGTAATCACTTGAATGATTGGGAAAATGTGTCTTCAAATATGTCTTGCATGCTCTAAAGTCCCCAGACTTGAGTATCTGAATTGCTCCTCCATATGTCATAAGCAGTGCGATCTCGTCCCCATTATCGTGGGCTCGAAGCTGTTCCAATTGTCGAGAACGACTTGAATTGCGGACGAACATTGACTATGGACGGCTCGCTATTTATTGACCAACTCCAGAATATGAAGGCTGAGATCCAAAGGGCCTAATATATCTCCGTCCTTTCAAATGGTATTGCTACAAAGTGTAGAACCCTCTTTGATAGTCGATACGACGATGACTTGCCGTCCCTGAAATAAATGCAACAAGACGAATGTATCTAGGCAGTGCTGCAAGATGGAAAATCATGCCCAATACAAAGCAGAAAATGACTTCGAACTTGTGAAACAGGATCGAAAGAAACTCATCGGGCTTCGTGAGAGATGACCAATGTGGCCCGTTCGATGGCGTCAGATACTGTTCAATGTGCAGACGACGAGTTACCTGACATAGCGTTTCTCTGAAGCGCTATAAACAACGTCAATTGTGGCATATCTGACTATTGGGTACTGCTGAGGTCGCAGAACTTAGCATCAAAATCAGCAAGGGCAGCACTCGGAGGTCTCTACGTACAATTTATGTACGAGGTACAGGTAAGACTGAGCCGCTATCATTAATATTTTTCTCAAGGAGAACGTATCACAAGCAAAGGAAGGCAGAGTTGTCTGGCATATCTTCAATTTCAGGTAATGTTGGCATAGACAAACCTTGAACCAGCTGTCCAGCTATAGACTAATTACCATTGCCGGAGAACTGCAGGTTCTCGTTCCCAACAACACCAGTCAGCACCGTCTGAGCGTTGATCCCGTCTACGGCGCCGTTGCCACCCTGCATGATATTGGCGAAGTTGTCCGAAATCAACTGAATACCACTCGAGAAACCCTGCTCGTCGAACTCGCAGTGCCCGCCGTTGGGGGTATTATCCACCGTCTGAAGGACGTTGAGCTGGTCCGCGCTGACGCCAGCCTGGGCCGCCAGCTGCTCATACGCGATGATGGCGTCGGGGATGGCCGGCTGCAGCAGGGCCAGCTCGTTCTGCGTGCTCTGGAAATGAATCTTGGTGGTGCTGATGACGTTGTTTGCGTCGACAAAGTCCACCTGTGGTTCGAGTCCGCCGCACATGAGGAGCACGCCCGTGCCGGCGAAATTGGTCAAGTGTGCGGGCATGAAGAAGCCGCTCAGAGTGAGAGAGCCACCAGACACACCGGTGAAGAACACATTCGAGGTGTTGAAGGCGACAACTTGCGGCAGTACCGTCTGAATGAGGTCGTTGACGGCCTGAGAGTGCTCAACGCCGTCTGGGCGAGAGAGGCCTTGGGGCTGGCCCTGGCTTTGTCCCCAGAGAAGTTGCTCTGCGCTGTGTGAGTGATGGCTGAGTGGAAGACTCAATTTAAACGAGCATACCTGAGGGGGCCAGAATGACCACGCCCATGAGGTCTCCCTGCACAGCTTGATTTGGGAAGTCAAAGAAGGATTGACCACCGTCACCATGGAGGAGGACATTAAGTCCCAACGGACCGGCATCGCCAGCTTGCGCCGTCGCTCCGTCGATGCCAGTATCCGCCGTGAATTGGTCGACGGGGCCGCTGACCTTGAATCGCAGGTTGAGGCCACTTTGTTTCCACCACTATTAGCAATCTACTCCACATGACGGTCTAAACTGTGCTGACACTCACTTGACTGTGGCCGTTGTATCTAAAATTGTCGATCCATCAGTCGCCTGCGAAACGCCCTGTGGTACCTGGGCGGCCTGTTGCTGAAGAGTCTGGGTATTTGCCGCAGCGGTAGCGGCACCTTTCCCTTTCCGCCTCGAGCCCCTTTGCGGCGCTGCATGGACATCTGCGAAGATGACCAAGAGCACCAGGGCAAAGAAGAAAACAGACGAGCGAACGGTCAACATTCTGCTGCGCCAAGAAGGAATAAATTACCAGAAAGGAGAAAGGAAGACGACAACAAACCGGGCAGAGCAAAACCAGTCCCCACGAACAAGAAAAGACCAAGAAGAGCCCAGAAACCTTGAAAACAGCAGACGGCGAGGCATAAAAGGAGATCAATCAGCTCGGTCGCTGCTCCCGCCAGCCATGCTGTGCATCCTCCGACGATCATGTTCTTGGCGTCTTCAGCGACAAGCAAGCGGCTCTCGCACTTGCTAGAGCCAACTACTACGCTGCCCATCAACAGCGGTCGTTTTCTGTGTGTTCTCAGACTGTTCGCGTGTGAGAGTTGGGATACGTCAAACAAGTAGTTGTGGTTGTTTTGTGGAGACGCAGGCAATGGGAGCCGGCTGGAGGCACTCGGCTCGCCCCAGGTTGGGGTCCACGCGGGCTTGGCAGGCGTTTTGAAATACTCCGTCACCACTCCCACCCCTGGAATCGCCTCGTTTACGCTGCGCCTATGTTCTGGAAACTCAAATATGGGGTTCTACGGTCTGTGGACTCGAACCATGGTGAGGACCCTTACGTAAAGCGGGTTGAGCCTACTGTTTCGAGTTCTGAGAATAGTAGCGATGCTGAAAGATGAGTCGCTGTCGTTCATCTAGTCTCCTGTAAGCTTCTCAATAAGCTTCTTTTCGCGCTTTGATGATGCTTTATGGTCTTCGGATTGAATTCATCAACTCCCATAATCTCGCATTTGCCGATTGCAAATCGCCGAGATATCTTGCCGCGTTTAGTGGCTTGCGTAAGTGCCGTAGATCATGATGTTTCAACGATATCTCTTGGCGGCCGGTTTGGGACAGATTTTGCGAATAATCAATGTGCACCGCAACTGGGGCTGTGGTTTTCTTGAACATTGAAGGGCTGTATGCCCAAGAAAAATTCGGCTCATATCGCTATCTAAAGGCTCGCCATCTTGGGTCCATCCAATCATGTGTCTTATAGCTTTGCTCCAGCTGCTTTCTTCGCTGCTTTCTCCTTGTCTCGAAGGAGCCTTCGAAGAATCTTACCGCTGGGGCTCTTCGGCACGACATCCAGAAACTCCACCCCTCCCTTGAGCCATTTATATGGCGCTTTGTGCTCCTTAACCCACTTCATGACTTCTCGTGCAACCTCTTGATCTGACTTGTTACTGTAGGATGGTGCTTTGACAACAAAAGCCTTTGGCACCTCGCCAGATTGCTCGTCAGGAGTTTGTATCACTGCACAATCGCCCACAGCTGGATGCGAGAGCAAATGAGCTTCGAGTTCGGCTGGTGCGACTTGGTGGCCCTGATACCTGTTAGTCCAACCCCTCTGATCGATGATTCATTGACATATACCTTAACCTTGATCAATTCCTTGATCCTATCGACAACCACAATATGCTCATTACCGGATGGCGCTTTGGTGACAATGACCTCGTCTCCGGTACGAATCCATCGTCCATCCTCGTCATGTAAGAAGGTCTCTGCTGTCGCCTTCTCATTATTGAGGTACCCGAGGGTTACTGAGGGCGATTGGATCCAGAGCTCCCCAGGTTCATCGTACTTGGTCACTTCCTTGCCGTCGAAACCAATTACCTTGGCTTTCGCTCCAGGGACCAGAGAACCCGAGGATTTATTCAAGACGTCGTGCTCACTTGTGGAAAGAACGACTGTGGCCGTCTCGGTCATTCCTAATGTTCACTCAGCTTCCGTTAGAACCTCACCGCGGGTGTCTAATGATTTACCATATCCTTGTCCTACATTCCATTTGGGGAACATCTTCTTGAGGTCTTGTATCGTTTCCTCGCCCATGGGAGCTGCACCCGTATACAGGAATCTTACGCTGCTCAAGTCATATTTCTTGAGCTCCTCCGGACTTCTAATCATGCGAATGACGATTGGGGGTACCTTCGAAGGTCAGCGAAACCCACATATGTTTCAAACTCCCGACATACCAAGAGAAGGTGCTCTATCTTGAATCGCTCAATCGCTGCGAGAAAAGTCTGAAAATCAAACTTCGGTAGTACGACAACCTCGTCACCTCGCCACGCTCCACTGTGGGCAATCACAACAAGGCCATAGATATGACTGAAGGGAAGTAATCCTAGCTCTACCTGAGTCTCGACTCCCTGTTGTTTCCGCGCGACAGACTCGTATGTTCGGTATTGCATGGCGTTCGCGATGACATTTCGGTGGGAAATCATAACAGCTTTCTGCAAGTCAATCAGAAGAGATTTCAAGGGTAATTACCGCAGTCTTTCACTTACTGGGAGTCCAGAAGTCCCACTCGAATAGCACAGAAAAGCCGGCTGGCGAGCACCCTGGCCTTTGGTCCACCGCAGTTCGTCGAGAGCTGGCAGCTTTTGTCCCTCGTCGATAAGGTCTTGGACATTTTTGAATGGCCCTTTCCTCTCGAAATCCGGCATTTCCATTACGAACACCTTCTCTGGCGGAATCCCGGCGGCCTTGGCTGCTTGCAATCCCGCCTCAAGTAGTGGAAGGCACACAAACAACGCTGTTGCACCAGACGACTTGAGCTGATGAGTGAGCTCTGTCGCTGAATATGCCGCATTCGCAGGCGTGGCGACACCGTTCAGCCGGTGAATTGCGTGTAGGACAGTGAGGTAATCGATCTTTCAATCTCAGTAAGTCCACGTCAAGGGTGTCTTGGCAATGATGAGCTTGCGGTCTGGGCTATCACTCACAGTATTGAAGGAAAAAACGGCAATGACCTTATCCCATGGAGTTCCTTCATTAGGAAACCACCCCATCCGCTTGCTTATCGCTCGCGCAAGATGTTCTCGCCTTTCGATAGACTCGCGGACGGTGAATGTCTTGCCTGTCAACCCGCAGGTGAATGGATTACGGCTCTTAGCGATCGGATGCCGACCATACTTCTCATTACTCATGAATTCCGCAATTGGTATTGAGTCTGGCGGGTCTATATATGATGAATGAGCAGATGTGTTGTTCATATCCGCGATGGAACTCACCAAAGGGGAGCTGTGGCACCCATGGCGGCGGTAGGAACACCATTGTCTCTCAATTGAGTGCCGCCTCGCTCTACAATCTTGTCCAACCAAGGGTTACTCGCTGATCGATTTGTCCGCTTTGTACGTCGCTGAATCGGGTATCTGGTCTCGCTGAGGTGCAGAAACAAGCCGACTTCATAAATTGATGGGAAACAAAAAGTTCGACAGTATTCACAATGGGGCACAGGATTATTGCCTCGGCCGGCGGCACTCCATCGGGATTTAAGATAGAGACTGCATTACGACAATCCTCCTACGGCGCTCCAGCCCAAATACCTCGGGGGCCGCCAAGTCGAGTTTGCCGCCATGACACCGCTTCCCCCACTTCCCCACACGCTACCGGAATAGTCAAGGCCGCTCTTCGCTCGAAGCAATCTGCGATCCCCGCAGATGATCCATACTTTGAGGGGCGGCCGAAGTTCGCTTGACTTCGGCCGCCCGCCATGCCTTGGCTATTTCGGAAGCATTGCAACACCAAGGCCAATTCGTTGGCGGTTGTCAGCTTGTGTAACATGAGGTTGAATGTTACTTAGTTTCCTTACCTGGTTGATTGCTGGGCGTAAGATTAAGCTTATCTTAGGGGCATCTCTCCCGTCATAGCATTCTGTCGAGTTGGCAGCTCATCATGGTAATGAACTTCATGCATGTGCCTTAGTGCTTACGGCTGGGTGGACAACACCCAGGCGGGACTTACACAGGCAATGCAACAGCAACGCAGCATGAGTTGCCTCATGGTTTTTCAATTCTTGAAACTTGGGTTTTTTCTTTCTCTCTCAACTTGTTGAATCATTCTATTCATCACCAGTCAGAAGTCATTTTGAACTCGGATGTCTTGTTCGAAATCTATCTTACAAGGTGGAGCCCATCACTCATTGACATAAATGTTGTCATTTTACTGGAGTCATCTCAGGACCCGGTAGACCTATCGATTCTCTATGGAGAGGACTTAGTTGAGATTTGGTAAGGTCTTGTTGGCTGTTCCCTTCAGTGCCATTGACATTCTTGCAATTACTCTCAGTGGAACCTGGAATGCTGAAGCCTGTGTACTTCAGGGGCTATTTGATCACCAACATTTAGACAAGAGATCTAATTCTACTCCTTCTACCAACCTATAATCATTGATCAAGTATATGCTGATTGGATTTGACAGATATCTGCCTTTCTATGGCTGGAGTGCTGCGCACTTCATTACTTCTCGTGATGCAGCAATATCGTTCATCCCCGGGGCGAATGGCATTTTTGAAGCCTCAAGAGCACGAGCACGAGCAAGTTACCGTCGCATAAAGTCGATGTGTGAAGAGTATCGACACAACTCGGCAACTCTCTTTATCAAACATCCACATCGATGCTTGCACCACACGTTCTAGTGTTGGGGCAATTGGTTAAAGACACAGGCCCATTGACCGCACACAGTTTATTCACTAACAATTGATTAACCTGTTGGGCTCCAGAGCTTCTGGCAAGCTGCTAAAATGTGGTTGTGCCTTAACGGGATGTGGCGTTAGCCACATAAGCACGTGATTGCATGGCTATCCACACTATCCCCCTGAATTGGAAGGAACGCTCTCTCCATCTAGGCAGGAGCCGTCTTCTTGCACAAACCACATTCGAAAAAAAAACAATATTTTGTTCTTCTTCCAAGGAAAGAAAGACCTCCCGGCAATTTTGTCTTCTTGATCACAACAAACTCCTACATCGTCGCAAGGTATCCTTTCCTACGCGAAAATACCCCTACCTCCTGGTTTTAGGGTTTCTTGAGACCAGACCCATCACAGCACAATTCACTGTATCCGATGAGCCTAATCGAATATTCTAGTCTTTGGTCATTTTAGATTGAAGGCACTGCAAGTTAGCGCGTCGGTATCTCATCCCTCATCTTCCCAGACAAATCCTCCCTCAACGTCTTTCACTTCCCTTAAACCTCTCTCATCCTCCCAATCCTTCATCTTTCAAGCATACACATATTGAGAGACCCTTCATCAAGTTCCCCTTCAAATCATCTCTCTTGTCTCTGTATAGACAAGGGAGTCCTCCGAAATCCGTCATATTATCAGCCAGGTAGACCGCCATCCACTCAGTAGGTATGTCACTCTTTGCAGGTGCGCTCCATTCATACTCATTCCGATGTCCTTGCGATCACTCCTGTTACATGTTACAATTAGCAGAGTTCATGATCTTGAAGTCTGAGGCTGCGCCATTGCTGGAATCCTTTCACTGCCTCCTATGATCCTGCCCCTGGATGCAATACTGCCTCTTCATTGAAGCTGCGTCACTCAGCCCAAAAACCCCAAACTTCCACAATAGCACATAGCAACAATCTTTACCTCAGATTCATTTTCACTAGCGTTTCTTTGATTCGGAGGCCTTCTTCTCTATTCTCTGAGGTCAAGCTCCACTCAACAGAGCACATCAGACGAAATCGCACACAAATATCCTATTCCCTGGCCATCCATACACCTTTTGAACCCTTAGTCTTTCTTCTTTTCTTCTCCATTCCTTCACCTCCATTTTCTACCACCAATTCTCTTTATTCTACTCATCCTTGTCTTATCCTCCAACCATCATAACTAATCTGGATTTCCACTGCTTAGGCATCCATCTCTATCTGCCACTTCCAGAAGTCATCAAAGCCATTATGGCAACCATTGTCAAGGACACGCAGCTTACTGCTGTAGTGACATCTGACAAAGGATCACTCAAACGCGAATTCTCTGAAGCCTTCACTGAGAAGGACCAGACTCTCCTGACACCCAAGCATGAGGATCTCGAAAAGCGTGCAAAGTTGTACCTTGACAAAGAACTGTCCTACAAGGACGAAGACAACGACCGTGAACAACTCAGTGAAGTCGTCAATTTCGTCGGACATCCCCTCGTATGGAGTGAGAATCGTCAGGCCCTCTGTGATGCCACTCCTTACTTCAAATCCCATCAGGGTGGTTTGTACACCAGGAACAATCTTGGTCTTGGCTTGCTCATTGATGGCGCTGGCTTCACGATTCGTGATAGATTTGGTGCAGATGTCATTGTTACCACAATGTGGGTTTACATTTACTTGTTCCATGACTGGATGTAGGGGCTAACATCAACCTCAAGGGGTGGCGGTCGTAAGCTTGATGCCAATGGCAATTATTCCCGGCAAGCCGACCATTTGCCGAATTCCCTCAAGGTCTGGCAGAAGAATCAGAGCGTCAGTCAGCCTCTGGTTGTGATTGCTGGTAAGTTGCCTTTGACTGGAATTACTTGATCACTAACATGCTTCCAGGCATAAACCACCCTGAGTTTCCATGTCGAGCGGTCCATCGCTACTCAGTCTTGGACAACTTCTGGGTCACTGATATTTGGCCCGAGCGATACCAGGATCATACAGGTTCCACCATTCAAGTCTTCAAGGTCAGACTTGAGAAAGTTCATTTGGGTCAAACCTCTTGGTGGTGGGACCCGCTTTCAGAGAATGCAACTAATTCCCTTGCTCCTTGCCACATTGGACAGTACACTGCTGCTCACCAGAAGTGTGAAGCCTGTGAGGACGATAGCAAGCAGGTCTTCAGCGAGAGCTGGACTTGTCTCAACGTCAACTGTCCTAATTTCTTCACCTTTCCTGAAGGGATTGACTGTGCTAGCCTTACTTACAGCAGAGAGTTCCTTGGAGAGAGAACTGCCTTCAGTGGAGACATGGCAAAGGTTGCTCAGATTGTCCCTGATCTCCCCTCTGGTACTGCATTGAACTCTACTTCAATCAACGCAAGGGCTGGTATTGTCTGCCCCGAGTGTGGCTGCTGTAGCCGCCGCCGATACTGGAACCGCTGGGAGTGCGAGAATAATGCCTGCGACTTTGCTCTGCATGCTACCTTGCAGCCTCATTCAATCACGGACGTCGAGAATGAGACATCCAAGCACGCTGCTGCTGCCTTAAAGCAAGCCAACAAATCCCGCAAAGATCCCGCACAGTCAGGCGATCTCCTGGATGATGTCACCATCGTGCTCGACAAGACCATTCACATGGAGAAGCATAACCTTGGCAGCTATAAAGCTTCTATCTATGTGTTGCCCAATGCCGCTGGAGAGGCTGTGGGATGTGTTGTGGTCTACAGAGTGCACAATGATGTCTGTGGCCGGCCAGGTGGACCGAATGCTCTCTACACTGACCTGCAGAATGTCGACATGAATCTACACAGAAATGCTGCGCGCTGTGGTGAAGGTATGTGATCCATGAGCCATGAAAGAGTCGGCGATCTAATTTGATATAGCCTGGAACGAGGTATTGACCCGTCACTTCCAACAGAACTTTGTAAGTTTTTACACATTCTTGTAAGCAGCCATTTGTATTCTAACTATGCAATAGGGTGCCCCATACAAGTTCGGTGTCGTTGTTGCATCCAAGTCCTTTGAGGATGCTCCAGATCCTGTCTTGAAGTGTCTGGCACGTTTGCAATGGGCTGGCCAGACTGCTGTCAAGGCCTCAGATGCCTTCCTCAAGACGCTTGAGAAGCAAGGTTTCATCAAGATCGGCAGCGACACACCAATCAACCCCGAGTGGCGGGATTTCAACGAGCTGTTGGCACTTGGTTATATGGAGAAAGATGAGATCTCCGTAAGTAACTCATTGATCCAATCGGGGAACAGGTCTAACTGAATACAATATAGTATCACGATGATGGAGAGAAGGAGCTCGGACCTACCGTAGCTACTCTGTCTCTTGGATCTCCCTCGAAGATGTCTTTCCGTCCTAAGAAAGGCTCGAACATTCCAACCGCCCGAGGCAAGAAGAAGGGCAACCCAGAGAAGGTTTACCATGATGCACTGCAAATTTGCCTGAAGCATGGCGACATGGTTGTCATGCATGGCGCTGCAATTCATAGGGACTATGAGGTTTGCAATACCGCATTTGTTACATTAGATTTGTACTGACGACACATTTGTAGCACGCAGTTGAGCCCTTGGGACAGCGTAGATTTGCTCTTACAAGCCGTGTGATTCGCGATGACAGCATTGGAGATCCTGGTGACAGAGAGATTGCCATGAGAATGGGTACCTTGCCTGATCACTATTCATCTTTTGAATATGATGGCGACATCCAAAACCCTGCTCAAGCAAAGGCTCTGGTTGACTTCACTGAGTTTTCTGACATCTGAGAGCAAAAAGACTCTTGAACCTCACAAAAACACATTCACCAACTCCCCGTCGTTATTCGACCATGATATGGAGAGTCTGCCAGTACTTTGTTGCTGATTTGGGCAGGATCTCACAAAACAGCTTTCGCAATTTTTGATTTCTTTTGTTTTTCTTTGATGGCCACATGCTGCGATAGGGTTTGGTGGGACAGGTGATGAGATTTTCGAAGTCTCTACAGAAGTGTCCTACTGGAGTTGGGATTCTGGGGAGCGAAGGGTGGCATCATCAAGGCTACCATCACGGTCATCACGGTCATCACGGTCATCACAGGCATCGTCAAGGCTATCGTCATGGTTTCAGACCAAAGTCATCACAGTGGGCATTGCTGCCTGCTGGCTGTTGACAGAAGTCCATGGCGAAAGCACAGTGGCAGGGACCTATATATCTGTCTCTGAAGGTTGCATTTGCTTGCTTGAGATCCTTTGATCTCCGATTATATTTTCTTCTGTTTCGGCGTTGAGAAAAACAAGTCAGCCACCTCTAGCTGACACTTGATACGCATGGAAGTCGAGCTTGCTTTCTTAGCTCATGGCTTTCTTTCATAGCTCAGATAGCTAACTCAATTCACACATAATACATTACGGAAACTCATGTCTTGCAGGGTATGAATTTATGGTGTTGTTACAATGATCTGTGATGTACATCATTGGGAATGCTTGCCCGAGCCCGTCCCAGTAACTAGCAGTACTACACTCCCTAATTGTCTTCTCAAATCCTCCTTTTCTACGTCATGGGTATCTTCAACCTCTCCCCACCTGCTTGTCTGCCACTCAACCTCCACACTCGCCGCTTTAGCAGCCTCTTCAACGCCAAACCTGGTCGCATCGTCCCCTTCTATGGCTTGACCACTCTTGCCGAGTCCAAGGGCCCTCCCAGCACTTCCCTCGCTCCACTCGACAACCAGCCGTATGGCCCCGAGGAGGCCCTTCCCTGCTAGGGCAGCGCGCTCCACGCCAGCCAGGTCCCACGGCTCGAGGCCCATGACCCAGCCCTGCACGACCTCGCGGACACCGGGCTTTTGGCCCCGCGGAACGATGCTGCTGCTGTCCAGCACCGGCTCAATCTCCACGCCCGGCCACACCTCGCTCGTCAGGAACTGCACGATCTCGCCGGCCACCCGCTCCTGCCGCGACCGCAGCGAGTCGCCTGTCTCTGGGTCCGTGTGGAACGACAGCGAGTCGGACTCAGGTGCCCAACAGAGCAGCGAGTCTGTGTCGAGATAGCGCAGCAGCATGGTCGCGATGGCGGTGCGGACCGGCGCGAACACGCCGTCCTTCGTCTCCGAAGCCGGCTTGGAGGCGTGGGCGGCGTCGTCGTCGGCGATGTCGATGGCGCGGCAGACGAGGCTCGTTAGGGGGATGAGGTGTTGCATGGTGGCCTGCTGGGCGGAGGTGAGGAAGTCCCACTCGAGGGCAACGGCGTGGGCCAGGTGTGGCTTGGAGAGCGGGATGCGCACGATGGCTTTGGTATTCGGATGTCGGAGCGGTCTGGCGTCGAGGTGAACTTGATACGCACCTGTACATTGCCCAATTGCATCAGCAAGGATCCTAAAACCCTGGTAGGACATGTTGTAAGCTTACCGTCGACCTCCTTGACATGCACGTCCTGCCAGAACCTCTTCTTCAAGGGACTGCTCTTCCCGCCCCTCGCAGCTGCCATGCCCTTCGCCGTGCGAAGATCCTGCGCCTGGCGCAGCATCTCAGCCTGTCTCTTCCGTCGCGCGATCCTGGCATCGGGATAGGCCTCGCTCGGGGCGGGTGGCTCTGGCGGTGGCCCGGTGCCGTAAATGGGGACGACCTTTGCGGTGGTGGCGGACGATGTGTGGATGGCAGCAGCTCGGCACGAGACGGGAGGGCTGACGGCGCCAATGGGGGGCAGACTGACGAGCCGTGGCAGAAAGCGAATTGCCCGCGCCGGTGGCTCCATTTTGGCTATGATGGGCGTTCGATAGAGGCTATTGCACATAGGCTGACAAGAACGTCGATGTTGGATTTGGGTCGGGAATTTATTTTTAATGGGTCCGGGAGCTATGACGATCGCCTGCGGCAGGTGCCGACGCCGGAGCGACCCGCCTGGTAGGGGCTCCTTTTGCACTGACGGCTCCAGACTTCATATTGACTTAAATCTCAGGCCGCCCAAGTTTGCGCCATCCCTTTTCATATAACTATTACAACGTTGACCGTCTACCTCAGATACTTGGCTCACCAGCGTGAATTTCCCTTCATTCAGTTGCGGCCAGTGCCGGCGACGAAGCTTTGGGTTTCCAGGATGTTTAGTTACCTCTGTATAGACTAGGGCTGAGTTTGCCTGTACTGCCACCATTATTGCTCGTCAGAAAGCCTCAAGGGGAGATGATGAGATGATGCCCATCACACTAAAGGAGATGCATCTTAGAATGCTTGCAAGCCCTTCGTTCATCAAGTAGGCCGATCAGTCCACCTCAGTCCGCATCGACAGATGACAGCCAATGAGGGGGTCATGATCTCCCAGTCCTAAATCTGATCATCATCGCGAGGCTGAGCAGCTTCGAACATGAGCATCCCGTCTCCTATCTACTTTCCATCGCGATGAGTTCTAGTTCGTTGCAAGTAGACATGGATGAGGTACCGTTGTTACTGGAACTTGTCGCCCAAGTTCACATAGTCGCCGGGCTTTTGGAATTCATCTATAGCGCCTTGCGCAATTCTGAAAGCCTGCCTTGGTATCTCTCACCATCGCAGTATGCTTGCTCCCAAACCGTCTCGACAGGTGCAGCCCTAATGACAACTCACATGAACGGTATTCTCAATGCTATCCCACCGTTTGAAGCCTTTCGATATACTGGGATACGTGAGCTGAACGAGGTGCTCGTATTCTGGAAACACTTGCGGACTAAATGTTTCTGTGTGAGAAGCATTTTCTTTGATGCTTTGCAGCGCATCTTGGATCCATCCATGGCAAAGACCATACGGCAAAATGACTTTGCAACTGCAATGGAGCGAAAGGCCCCAATGTACGTCGAAAAACTAATCGAAGAGATCGAAGAGCTTCAAGAGCTCTTGTTTGGTCTTGTTCGCCACTTGGAGAGGTGATACGACAAGCTCGCGACCATGTATGATCTGACCACTGACGATCACTCCCAGATTACCTCACATCTCCAATGACGTGAGCCGGACCAAGAACCCTCATTTCGAATATTCCCAAGACGTGCTATATGATGTTGGAAAAAAGGCACCAAATTTCCTTGACAATATCGTTCAATGGTCGAGGGCGATTCAATTACTCCAGAAGGATATCCATGCCCTGTTTGTCAAATGTCAAGTGGCTGCCACCGTTCACACTTCTAAGTTTGTTGGATTATGCCCAAGTCACAGCTCCAAGCCAGGCATCGATATTTGTGACATTTGTCAATTAACTATGGAGATGACTTCTAACGATAGCGAAGCAGTGATAGGTTCTGGCCATACCTCTGATTTGCTTGATATGGAGATGCAGAACCTGACACATTTCATTATCATTGACCAGAACTTAGAGATGAAAGAGAAACATTGCTGGACATCGTTTCGTATACCGATAACAGGACAGGTACACCAATGGAGCGATAGCAATGACCAGTTCTTCATGGCATTTATTGAGCCCTGGGAAGTCACAGTGGATAGGCGAAGCTCGCTCCCTCCGGACATGTGGCCTAAACGTGCAATACTGGAAAATGATGCCGACTCTGGTTATAGACAAGAGCTTTTGGGCTCGTGGCTAAGACATTGTCGCAAAGAACACCTGTTCTGCTCTATGAGCATGGAGGATGACACCCTTCTACCTACACGCCTCATCAACCTAGAAGCCCTTTCCAGTTCAGACACCATCTTCATACAAGACACACGAGGCTTGCATGGAAAATAAATGGCACTCAGTTACTGCTGGGGTGGAGATGTGCCTCTCAAGCTTGAGAAGAGAAATCTTAGCATCTTCCATCGGAAAATACCTCTTCAAGATCTTCCAGACACGTTCCGAGATGCCGTGTGGACAACCTGGAGACTGGGGTGCAAATTTCTTTGGATCGACGCCCTCTGCATCATCCAAGACTCACAACGGGACTGGGAGGCGGAGTCGCGTGAAATGGGACGCATCTTCAATTTTGCATCGGTCGTTCTAGCTGCTGTTGATGGAGTAAATCCATCTAGCGGACTGCTCCCTCGAGAAGCTTCCCCTGCAGAGATGGGAAACTTGACAATCAATGCAACTGTAAGGTGGGCTCCACAAGAACTTCACATGAACTCGACGAAGCTTGTTCTCCAGCGTGGGCTTCAATCCGATGATTATGGCACACGGATACCCGGCCCGTGGAATAATAGAGGTTGGACTATGCAGGAGGAAGCCTTAAGTCGTCGAATCATATACTTCCGGAACTCTCGGTGCTCATGGAGCTGTAAGGAAGCATCATGGGAAGAAGATGGCACCACGGGCTCCGGGGATCAACACAGTTTTGCCGGGTTCGGAGGGCCAGTGGGTTCACATGACAATAAGTGGTGTAGAATGGTTCAAAAGTACAGCCAAAGGGCTTTGACTGTATCCTCTGACCGACTCATAGCTGTGGAAGGGATGGCGAGGCTGTTTGGGGATCTCCTTGGACGCCAACAACAAGACTACATCTACGGCCTCTGGAAGGAGGACCTTCCATCCACACTAGCTTGGCGGACCAATGCTCAGCCAGGAATAGACAACGCTTCGGGTGCTCTTGTGCCCACCTGGTCATGGGCCGCAATGAATACCCCGGTGTACTGGGACATGGAGCCAAATCTCATTTCACAGCGGTCCTACTTCGAGGTCGATCCAGGTGCCTTCAGCCTAAAAATAACGGGATCTTTCGTTTCCGCCACATATGTAACGAGCTTACAGCTCGGTACATGGACACGATTGTCATATACCTCCAAATGTCTCTTTGACACGACCTATAGCAACACTAGCTCGAATTATCTTCTCCTCTATGCGAGTCGGAAGTACGAGAAAACCCCTTCCTTCTATGGTCGGATGACATACGTCTTTCTTATACTGGAGTGTAGGGACAGGAACCGTGATTACTGGGTCAGGCGTGGTTTATGCCATGTAACACCTAGTGATCCTGATGCGACTTGGTGGGAAGACAAATCCTCGAAGCTTTTCCTGTTACACCAAAGAACACTCTTTCTGTGTTGAGCATTCCAGTATCTCGGTGCAGTGTGGTAATTTTTTGTTTATGGGGATTGAGGGCAGGGGAGTAAGAACCTGGATATTATCTCCCTATCATTGATTTCAACTGGTTTTTTTAGGCATTTGCTTTGCACAATACTTTTTCTTTATGACCACTCGCTCGCTGAAAAATAGGTAGAATACAATACAGACAGATGAAGCCACCAAGCTCTCTCTCTCTCTTTCTTTCACACAAACAAGAAGACAAATGCCACTCCTTTTTCCCATATGATGTCAAAGGGGAGCCACCACCAACCTCTATGCACCAAAAGAAGAAAGGGAGCATGCATGCTGCTGCCGTTGCTGCTATACACCCGCCATGCCCTCCTTCGAGTTGCCTCATTTGTATCTCTCCGTCCTCCCGTGAAGTCTGATATGCTCGATTTGATCTTTCTTTGTTTTTGGGGCCGCCCTGTAGATAGAAGGGCAAATGCAAATAGAAGTACAAGTTGGCTGCCACCACACCTCCCGTTGAGGGGTGGCGCGGCGGCATATTAGGGCAGACTGGCCGTCTGCTGGTATCATGAAGTCCAAACAATAGCTCAAATTGAAAGTCTGGGTATGATGGGTACACAATGTATGTATAGACTAAGGTCGCCTTAGTAAGGCGGCTTCGTCACGTTCCCGAGGCTGTGCTCCCCGGCGCGGCTGTCGATGCCTTTGAGCAAAGACTGTAGGTCCCCTACAGGGGGCGCATCCTCGTTGCCTAGGACGGAGGACAGCACGCTGTCGCCGCCTCTGCTCTTCAGGTTGCGCTTGGCCGGCTTCAAGGGCGTCGTGTTGTCTTGCGAGGAGACGGTGCTCCATGTGTTCTCGTTTGCCAAGCCGGCTGGCAATGGCGGGACGGGAGGCACGAACTCCTCGTCTTCCTCGATAACGCTGTCTGGCGGGTTCGAGTTCAATGGTCCAAGTGACTCGCCTAGTGAAGCCTTGCGCTCCCGCGATATCGGTCTTGACCGTGGGAGAACAGCCGAGGAGGGTCGATCGCGCCCTGTGTCCGCCTGTGCGGGATTGAACGAGATCTCGGATGCCGTCATGTCGTAACTGACCATGCTGTCGCTGCTATCGTCATCGTTCACGGTCGTTGCGAAGTTCGGTGTTTGTAGGTGGCCTGAGAGAACAAGTTTCAATTGATCGACCGAGGTCACGAATCCTCCCTCACGGCTCGAAACGCTCGCGGGCGCTGGAGATACACCACTTCGGACGCTCGACTTGCGCAGCTTCGTCATAGGCGCCAGGTTGCTCCCAACGGGTTGCGAGGCTGGTCGAAGCTCTCTCGTGCTGCCGAAAGGTGAGGCTGGAGCTCCGTCTCTGTTGCCATTGGCTAGGGCGCCATTAATCGCAAGCCTATGTCGCGTTCCAGTCGTCCCACTGCGAGAGCCGTTTAGTGAGGCAGATTTGCTGCCCACTTGAATTGCGATCATAACTGCTTCCCGAGACCAGTCCGTAAGCATCTCCTCCCGGATTTTGGATGGTACTTCACGATCCGTCTCGGCTTGTGGGATTGTGCCGAGAGTAGAGCTCAAAATCGGGTGAGTGAAGCTACGGCCTGGCGATGTAGCCGGACTGCCGGGAGGAGATACCATCGCCTCCCGATAGCTTGTGCAAATACACTCAACTAGAGATGTGCGGTCATCGAAAGGCAGGAGAGCCTCGTACTCAACCTCGTGCACAGGCATCTTCGGTTGAGGTCTCGCCATACCGGGTGTACCAACCAGCTCCAGTAGAGGCGTTGGAATATGGACGCCTTCAACCCAGAAATGCTTACTTCTGCGCCGAATAATTTCGTTGTGGATCGCGCGGCCAACCACCGACGCATCGAAATCGAATTTCTCGGTCAACACCCAAAAGTACCCATGGCACAGACTACCGAGTCGAACCTTGTGCAATGGGGTTTCTGCTTCCTGAATATCCTCTTGAAGTCGGAAAATCATTGGAAGCCCGTATCGCACCGCATTCACCCCCAATTTATTGACGAGCTTCGCGAGAAGCACATGTAAAAGAACAATATCCGTCTCATAATCGACATATGTCAAAGCATTATCGTAGATAGCAACATGAATTAGCTGCAAGAAATGCGACCGAGGTGTATGCGCCGGTTTTTCTCTGTTCGATGCGCTCGAGACAGCTCGTCGTGCATTCGCTGTAGTTGCGAGTTCTCGACTCTTCAATGGGGACCGTTGGGTCACCGCGTTCTCGTCTCGGGCTTTCAGGTCCGCCGCGGTTGTCTCGCGGTCGAGCCAGGTCAGAAGAGCATCTGCGTACGCTTTGCGAACCTGCCCATCAGGGTCGCGAAGCAGCCACTGAGTCCCTTCCCAAACCTGGATTGGAACTCGGTTCCTTGACAAGCTCACGTTGCCGCTGATCTTCGTCTTTGGGTTGGCTACCAATAAGATGCCCTTGATGGACTTCAAAGCAGCCGTCTTGGCGACAGTTAGCGAAAATAGGGAATCGGCATGCGCATCGTCGGAGAAATTGGTAATCGAAGTCGTGGGATTCTCTGCCTTCTCGTTATGAGGAGAGGAGTTTGCCGTGCTGTTCGACCTTGCCGGCTTGAGTCGGAGCAATATCGCAGAGATCATGTCAGAAATCTGATCCGCGTAGTAGACATGGGTTGCCAAATCTCCCACGCATTGTTGAATCCGGCTCAGTAACTCTTTTCGGTCTGTAGCAAATTTCTCCACAGCCTCGGCAACGGTTGGCGATAGGGGCTCGTTCTGACCGGATCCTCCACCACTGGGATCCCCTGGCATCTGCACAAGTCTCTTCATGTGGTGGATTAGCCCCAACAGAACATCCATGACACTCAGCCCGATCAAGTTCACATCCGAACGTAGAAGGGATGCGATCATTGCAGTCAGAACAATGTGCTGCTGCAATGTCTCGTCTGTAAGCGGCTTCCGTATCAAGTTGTCCAACGCCGTGACGAGAATGACATAACGATCCTGCACAGGGGTCCACCGCGAAATCAGCCCAAACATCTTGATAGCCCATCCACCGTCTTTGTTATTATGTGTCCTAACCACGGTCTCGCCCTGTGTGATGCGTTCTTCGACAAATCTGAGCAGGGCACTGGTAGCCCCGTGGATCTGAGATCGGTTCGGAATGATGAAAATCTGCTTCAGGCACTGCATTGCAAGCACACCAATGTCCTCCTCGGCCAACTTATCCACATCCCAGGCAGAGCCCGACAAGGCTATCGGATTCGTGTCTCCGGCAGTATCGGCTGTCCTCACCGTCGCATTGCTAGTCCTCCGCTTGAGGAGCCGCTCCGTGCCCACCTTCTCCTCCAGCTCCGCGCGTTGCAGCAACACCTCGAGGAAGTCATCATTGTCCGTCCACAGATTCTCCAGAATCATCGGCACGACCGTGTCGAGCTGGCGGCCCGCAATGGACGACAGCGCATCGGAGGAAGCGACACTTCTAATGGCCTCCAGTCCCGAGTTCCTCCATCGCATGGCTACCGGCTTGCTGGGCTGGGTCTTGCCCGGCGAGCCGCGCGTCGAGGCGAGCTTGGCATACTGGTGAACAACAGACTCGTATTGCTTGAGGTAAGCTTGGTCGGCGAAGAGCGACGATGCATCGTGGTTTGCGCAGAAGGCCTCGAATGTAGGGATCGACGACTCCACCATGGTGATGTCGTTGGAGCGCAGGATGAGGTCGAGGATTTTCAGCACGGACGGCGCGAAGAGCGGCAGGTCCTTTGGGTTTTTCTCGATCAACGCCTCGAGGATCTGAAGGGTTACCTGGACATTGCTACACGTGAATTTGTTAGTATCATGCATCCAAAGCTGCTGTGCAGACCGTGGTTCTTTCGCGATCCCGGGTGGTCCGGGTGGTCCGGGTGCACGGAGTTGCACATACCCAATTCGCAGGCGCCAGACGTCACTGGCAGTCTTCTTTTCCAGGAAGCTGGCGACCTTCTGGATCTTTGTCTTGCGCGAGGTCGCATAGTAGAGCAGGTAGCTCAGCTCGCTGGAGTTTGGCTTGACGTCGACGGCTCCCTTTGTTGTCCGGGGGTAGCACTTGAGCACGAGGACCTGGTGCTTCGGCCGACATCTTTGCTGGATGGCGTTCATCGCGCCGGTCGCATCGTTTGCCCCGTGGTTCTGAGCCTTGCGTCGCTGTCGAGCAAGGAAATGCTCGAGACAGGAGATGCAGGAACGAGCAGTGCAAGGTAAGATGGGGAAAGGCGTATGTAGGCAAATGCAAATAAGAAAAAAAAAAAGGCGAGGGCGTTGATGGTCCAGGCTCCTCCGGTAGGATGGGAGTGTGGAATTGAGAGGCTCGCTCGGGACGTGGTGGCTTGTGAGCTGGCGTGTTATCTCTGAGAAACCCTCCGGCGCTGCGTAATAAAGTGTCCACTGATGAGAGATGTCTGCTGCTGTGATTTCCCTACTGTGCCGGCGCCAAGCTGACCGGGGCAGGGGGGCCACCTCCCTGAAAGTCTACCGGGGATCGCTGGAATCTGCGCCTGTTCCTTATCGCTGGGAAATTGGTCGCATCTGGAATAGGGGGAAAAGCCACTCAGACCTTGCTGAGACAGGCAGCGCAAGTGCTTATATTTCTACATGCAAGACAATGGAGAAAATGAGGGCGTTTACAGATGTTTTGTAGTGTCGTCAAACAAGAATTATCGGCTCTGAAGAGGATGATGTGTTCTCTATCTTCTAGAGTGAGGAGGCGTTGCTGTCCACGACGCAACTTAAAACTCGAGCTGGTGTAGATGCACGATGCCAGAAGTATGCTAAGGTGATACTGTGATGCAATTGCTCGACTCTAGAAAATCACGCATCGATATACGTATCGTAGTAACTAGTCATCGGGAATGCATATACGCTGTCTGACTTGAGGTGCCACCAGATGCAGCATCCTTCTTTCTGCCGGATTTTGTTGAGCTGCAGACGCAAAGCGAGACATCCCCAACATCCCCATTCCAGGCATTGCCATAGCCAGCTGTGTCCCCTGTGACTCTATAGCCCGTACATATCGCAGACTCACGAACAAGCCTCATTCACTGTACAAGACTCTGTGAGGAGAAAAGGATGTGAATGCTCATCGGATACCCTGGTCGGAATAGTGCCTTGAATGCTAGCAACTCACTGCATGGCGCTATACGTCACTCGGGTCTCGTCAGCGACCCTCCTCCGGCCCTATGAGACACGACGTGCAGATGGAGGAACGGCCTAAACTCGAGTCCTTGCAGTCTCCCACCACTGACATCCCCTCCAGCTTCAGACAATCCCTGATTTATACCCCCTGCGTCATCTTTCTCAGTTCTCGCACCTTTGCCCGGGTTTAGCTCGACTTGCTAGTTAATCGCTCGCACACTTGGCTCTCCGGGCTGTGTAGGAACGCTATGTGTCGAAGTATTTACACAGCCGAAACGCCTCTGCAATGTATCTGGGCGCACGCGGATGGGTCGACTGGCACTATAGTCTGCTTGTCATGAGCCACTGTACACGTGGAATGACTGTCTGGAGATGGACGGGGCGTGACAGTCACTGAAACCGGGGCAGCCGAATCGAGACTGCAGAGTTGCATCCGACCGCCGAACGGTTTAGCCGCCTTGGACTGTTCGAAAGAGTCGCATCACGATACGTCACGCAAGCTGTGGCAGCTGTCTTTTGCCTGGGGCGCCCGCCTGTTCTGCCGTACATTTCGGCGGACCGGCCCTACTGTGGCTCTGGGGGAACTCTCATTGACTCGTTCTGTCACTCACTCATTCAGGGCGCCTGAGCCATCTGAGCCGATCGGAGGAGAGATGGGAATACCAGATCGTAGATGGGGACTTACCCCAATCCTTGCGCCAATCACAGTAATCCTTGGGAATGCTTTTGGTAACCCCACAATATACCACCTCACGTGATACCCTTGATCATGGGTCGTGATCCAGGTACTGCATTTCTTACGCCAGTAGAAGGGGAATAATGCTGTATAATGGGTATAGTAAGAATTCATTTGGCAAAGGGGCTATCTTGCCAGTATCACGATGGCAACACCGATTATACAAATATCCAGATATCGAACATTTGTGACTTTACAGTGCCTGTCGACTGCTTAGACAATGTGACCTGCGAAATACCAACGAAACCATCTACAATTCCACATACCGCTAATGCAAGTGATGTTTAAACTCGAAATGCGTCGTCGTAAGCACGTCTTGTATCATGATTCTCTTTTCAGCTGCGCACGTCAATCAAGCCTTCACCTGAGTGGCCAGGCGCAGAAATTTTATCAGCAAGCAACACAACATTTTGATATATATTGATCTGAACGTGAACAACTCAATGAAAAATGGGACCAAAAAGGCGTTTGCTGCCCTCGTTCAAGTCCTATAAGTTGTCAAACCGCAAGTGATGTGATAATTCTTGCCTCATTCTTGTGATCCATGTTATATCGATGGTTGTCTGCAAATGCACAGTCGTCGTCAGTCATTTGCTTGCTCTCGATTATACCATAGACTGGAATCGGAAGAGCCGTGCCAGAGACTTAGCTGCCCTTCTCGAAAGAGACGGAATATGGTCCAGGCATATGCGGATGCAAGGCGAGATGATGATGCTTTCACCATCGTATTACTCGGGAATTTAACGCGGAGGTGCACGTGAGTTCATGCTATTGCTCCACAAGATTGATGAGCTTGTGCCTCTTGAGACAATACCCAATTCGGCTTTATATGCCGAATGATCGGGTTGTTTGTAGGTGAGGTTAGATTAGGCTCGTGGCCGGAGGCTCGGCTGGCGTAAACGGCCCCTGTAAATGGCGCTGAAAAGTCTCACATGTTCGGGGCGGACGCAGATTCGCCCGTATTACGCCCCGTCTCCAAACCGGCAAACAAATCGCCGTGACAGGCGGCGCCAGCACCCAAAAAGATCAGCTCCAGGGATGGGGTTTTGGTGACCCACAATCCTGGAGCCAGGCCTCTGGCACCACGCGGCTAGTCACAGAGCGACCGGCGCCTTCCCGGACTGCATTTACGAAATACGGCCGCCGTTTCTGGAGGCGGCTGAGGCGCCAAGACTCGCGTTATAAGGCCCAATGCGGCATCTTGCAAACACCGTCGCTGATCAATCAGCGTCCAGCATTTCCCTCGACGTAAGACTTCATCGGCCAGCTCGCCGCGCGAACACTCTTCCGCTCCTTTTTCTTTTTCTTTTCTCTCTTCATCGCTCAAAGCATCGTCCCGCCATAATATACTGGCTGCGATGTCCATAAATATGGCGCCTGTCTCCCCTCGTTGATGGCATCCGCGGGTCATCACTAAGATTCTCTGGCACCTTCAGCCGTCTAACACGTTCGAACATGCTGAATTTGAGACAACTGTTTTCCACACGTCCTCTCTCCATTCTCGCAGCCTCTCTACTGGGCTTCGAATTCGCCGTTCAAGGTGCCGCGAAGCCATCTTCCCATCCTCATTGCAAGGCAATACCCGGTACCCCATCGTGGCCCTCGTCCCGGTCGTGGAGCGCCCTCAATGAGTCAACTGGGGGACGACTGCTCCAAGCAGCTCCTCCAGGAGCTGTCTGCCATCCCGGACAGCCCTCCTACGACCCCGCCCTCTGCCCAGCAGTCCAGTCCGGGTGGTCCCGGTACGAATTCCACTCGGACGACCCAGTCTCCTCTGACTGGAACCACTGGAACAATGACTCCTGTCTTCCTGGCTGGCGTGATCCGTGTAGCGGTGCAGGATATCCTGTCTTCGTCGTGAACGCCACCGAGGCGGCGCATGTCAGCGCGGCTGTCAAGTTTGGTCCGTGACTTTTCTCATTCATACATGAAAGTATACTAGTAGAGCGAGCTCTAACTTGGTACGACAGCTAGCAAGCATGACGTCCGGCTAATTGTAAAGAGCAGCGGGCATGACTATCTTGGGCGCTCGTCAGGCCCTAATTCGTTGTCTGTCTGGACTCACCATATAAGAGGGCTCGAGGTGCACGAATCCTTCAGACCCAGATGCTGCAATGTCAAGATTGAAGGAGGTGCTGTCACTCTCGGGGCCGGCATGCAGATGGGGGAGATCTACGAGAGCCTGGATGCATTCAACAGGACTATTGTTGGCGGTGGAGCCAAGACAGTTAGCGTCGGAGGCTACCTGACAGGCGGCGGTCACAGCCTCCTGAGCGCCCGATATGGCCTTGCAGCCGACCAAGTATTGGAGATAGAGATTGTCACCCCGAAAGGAGACATCTTGACGCTGAACGAGTGCAAGAACACAGATCTCTTCTGGGCTATGAGAGGAGTGAGCATGGGAAGAGAACTTGGATGGCCGGGATTTCCTTACTGACATTGCACTCAGGGAGGCGGCTCGACGTTCGGCATCATGACTTCGGTGACAATCAAGACATATCCGACTCCGCCGCTGGTCAGCATGACACTCCTGCTCGCAACGCTCGATCCAGGGCCGTATGCCTCATCCGTCACGGATGTGATCGCATATTTCCTCAGCCAATTCCCTTCACTTGGGGATGCTGGTCTATCGGGATACGTATTTATGGTAGCGGGCTACCCGAACCCCTTTGACGGCGGGAACACCACGGTCGGAGGTGTCTACGGCCTGCTCGCAGTCCAAGACACACAGGATCCAAGCGCATTGCTAAGTCTCGTCGGCCCGCCGCTGGCTCACATCGCGGCGACGTGGCCGGGCTATTTGATGGTGCCGAACGTGACAGCGTATCCGAGTTTCTGGGCCTGGTTCAAGGACTATGCCGACAACAATCCCGCTGGCACCGACGTCTTTGTCGGCTCGCGCCTCTTGGACGAGCGCGCCCTGACGGCGGACTTGGACGCGAGCGCCGCTGCCTATGGGCAGCTTCTGGCCGGCGGTGGTGCTGGCACGGCGCATCTGGTGAGCGGGAAGGGCGTGCGCGATGCCCAGCCGCGGGGAGGCGGTGATGCTGTCTTGCCGGCGTGGAGGAGGTCATATGTGCATCTCAGTAGGTCTCCAGTGATGATTTTTTTGGCAAGTGCCATCATCAGGGGTCGTTGTGAAAGTTCTTCATGGGGCTAACATTAGAAATTCACAGCCCGCTCATCCCCCTTCCCGCCCCTGAATGTGACTGCACGAGCTGAGGCACTCGTGAAATTGGATTATTACATTGATGGGTTGCGCAAACTGGCCCCTGAGACGGGTGCCTACGTAAACGAGGTGTGCTAGCTGTTCTTTCACTCCGGGACACAACAGCTCTGTAAGATCATGTGGCTAACCACTTTTTGCAACTGCATAGGCGAATCCGCAGGAGCCAGATTGGCAACATCAGTTTTGGGGCGAAAACTATGACCGACTGACTAAGATTAAGAGGAAGGTTGATCCCGACGACGTGCTCTGGTGTACGCCTTGCGTCGGAAATGAACGATGGCACGAGGTGGATGGCCAGCTCTGTCGAGTCTGATTTCACTCTACATTGACATGGTCTGTATTGGATGCATAGAACCAGGTAGTTGCAGTGGATTACAATAGTAATGTTTTATACCACTAATAGTTTGACATATGTCGCCTCCCTTCGCATTCAGGGGTGTCTATCCTGTTACCTCCTCCAATCCTTACCACCTCCTCCTCACCGGGGCATTGAGTTTGGCCTTCTTTGGTGACGGGAAGCAGTTGCCCACGATGCCGCTCATGGCCTCATCGCCAGCTTCTAGGGCCTGAACATCAGTGCCACAATTTGCCGAGCGCGCAATGTGAATGTCTTGCGTGTCCCAATCGAAAATAGCTAAGCAAGCATAACGAGTCAGTACTCCGCTCACATCTCACTCTCGCACCCGGTCAACGGCCGCGGAAAACTCACCATAGGCCGCCCTCAAGAACGGCGCCCCGAGCAGGGGAATGTCATTGGGGTATAGCAGCAGATAGCACGACCCATTTTTGCCAATCGACGCGCCGTCCATGACTAGCTCTCGCATCTCGATACTAATGACGGTGTCATTGAAGCCGAAGCTCAGGAAGCCCGAGGAGCCGCGCAGCCCGCAGTCGACCTTGTTCAGCGTGATGCCTAGGCTCGTGTCGGGCGTCGCGCTCAGCTGGGTGTAGATGGCCTGGGTGATGTTTGGCGGCAGCGCGACGGACGAGGAGCCGCTGTCGATGATGACGCCTGTCCCGCCGGTGGCGAGGGTCTGCGGCAGGGAATACTTGGTCCCGAAGGAGAAGGGCGGGATGTATAATTGGAGGGAGTCGAGGCGGACCCAGTTGCTTGTGAGGTGTTAGTTTTTCAAAATAGTAACGGAGAAAACAGGGGTGAGCTATCATACGCGTATTTCTTAACAGGTGCGGCCTCAGGAGGAATGATATCAAGCTTCTCTAGGCCTCCAGTGAACTTGCCCTTATCAATACCTCCGAATATCAAAGTACCTGTATTAATTATTTAGTGAATTACTCAAGGGAAAGTACTCAATGTTGATATACCTGTGCCATCAGGCTTGTCCAGAGATGGAAGGGTCAAGCTGAAAGCCCTGCTGTTGAGATATCCCAGGTTCGCAATCTGAGATAGTACCAGTGTCTCGTTGAACCCATAAACGGGGTGAGGACCAAGACCCATCTTGCCCACGGATTCATTATGACTTGCCGTGGCAACACCGAATATTTGATTTGTCAGTCTTACACCAATGTCGACAAAATCAGTGTAGTAAGACAGGTTGACGTCTCCCGCGAACTGGCCGAAGCCGGTCGTCTGGTAGGTTGCTGTGGCTGGGTCTTCAGGCGTCGAAGTATCTGACGGCCAGTATTGACCGGCGGCTTTGCAACGATCACTGGACCCCGGTATTGGTCCTGCATTGCTGCAGTCTGGGTTCACCCACAAGTCCCAAGAGCCGGTGTCGACTTCAAGCGCGACGACTTGGCCAGGGGCGCCAATGGCGACTGAAGTCAAGCATTAGCTATTGACTTCAGGTACATGTGCACCTATAACAAACCTTCAATCGCGTAGTAGTCGGCGGAACTGAGCACATTGGCGACGGCGGATCCACGTGGCTCAAGGCCGCGGACGGCATCTGCACCTCGTCCGACCGTCCGGACCGGCAGGGAGATGGGCGCGCCCCCCTTCTCGGCGCCGAGGACGCAAGACGTCAGGCCGACCACGAGGAGGGAGGTGAGCCCCGAGGGGGGTGACATTGTACTGGCCCTCATGATCCTGAAAGACGAATACCGGTGTGGAAAGGAGAGAAAGTCGGCCAAGAAAGGGCTTGTCCCGCCGGAAAATTTAACGAGGGTAGACGGAGCCGCACGAGCGAGGATCGACGCTCTCCGTGGGAATTCCGGCTGATATTATAAGGTGTTTGCAGCCTTGTATACCCGCCTTATACGAATTCCTGGATTTCCTTCGGTTTCCGCTAAGAGACCAAAGGTTCGATTCCGAGCAAGGACCCGACTGCTGTAGTACGTCGCATGATGCAAACGACCAGGAACAAGAACCTCGTGTTAGTAGCGCTGGGCTCGAGATCCCTCGCAGCCAATCGTGGAAGGTGTCCAGAAGTAGCAGGCTAAATGCGGGTGGTCAGCCCCCAGCAGCCAGCTTGCCCCTGAAAATGCCGGGGGGTGCGCTGTGATCTACCGTCCGCCAAGACGCCGTTGAGATTGCCTTATTGACCCCTGTGAGGGGAAGCCGCATGATTGAACCGTGAGGCCGGGAAGCGAGAACGCTAAGAAGAAGGTTGTTCCTCCAGGAGCTGACGGCAGAACGGCCGAGATTGGACGAGAGCCTGGTGAAACAAGAAGGATGACCACCGATTCGATCCTCGAAGCTGACTTACATAGGCAATACAGAGTCCGCTCTAGTGGAGTGGCTGAATTACCTACAAGTCGTTGTACATCGACTTGAGGGGCAAAAAACACCAAATTTCGATACTGCCAGCAATTCCGAATTGCAACGTTCTACATGTGTTAAGTGTTCACAAAAGTAATTGCTATTGAATGACGATAGGTTCCATCCAGTCAAACCGGAAGTTGAGGCTTGCATCGTGGTGCTGTGCTTAAAACGGCTAGTCGGACGGATGTATCTGGCTTGGGGCCGTGGCTGCCTGGATACTTCAGAAAGAACTCTTAGGGCACGGCCAGAATAAATTCACAATCACAAATATAACATTTTCTTTAATAACCGATCTTTTTTATACTTGAATTGCTCACTAGAACCGGGTAACACACCAGCTATCCTGTGAACCCATGTTTAGAGCACGCGGAAACATCACTCGAGAAGAAGTGGCAAGATTCATTGGTCCTGCGATTAATGGCGTGATATTCCATAAATGTAGCACCGACCTCGACTCCTCTCGAGGCTCAGTACTGAGTTTGATATGGCTGCCTCTACAGCCTGGCACAGAACTGAACAACAAGGCCGGGGCTCTGCGCGACGGTGGCAAGCCGCTTTGGACTACATCCACAAGTTGCCCGGCTGTGAATGCTTACTCTGGGGCTACGCTCTCGGTACAGAGTATGCAGTGGCTGACAATCCTTCCGTGCTTCTGCTGATTCAATGGAACACGGTTTATACATAGAAGACCTTCCAGGAGTCGACCGGCGTGCACATAATGAACTTCGCCAATCTGATCCGCGGACACCCACTGAATCTGACAATACGTCAAGAGAGCGGCGCCAACTGGATAGATCTGGTTGATAGGAAAGCCATTGAGATTAGTCTAACCTCTTTCTCCAACCCGCCTGTGTCCACTTCTTCAAATAAGATTTCCGAGTCCATGCAGGAGATCAGGCGTTATCTTGCATCAGCCGCTGCTAGACTCGGATATGTTGACTCTGATGCTCGGATGACAGAGAGATATGTGGGTCTCAACCCAACATCAGAGCATGCCAAAGAAAGAGCCAGTCAATTGTCAGATATTATTGCGTCTTTTGTGGTTTGGGAAACTGAAAGAGATTTTGATAAAGCGGCCGTTCAAGGTACAGAGTTCGAGGGGACTCGACGTGATTTCTACATGTGTTCTTCAGGAGATGGCATGCTCAGGTGTCTGGCTAAGATTGAACGCTTCATCCCTGAAACTCAATCGTAGACTCATATCTCGCACCAAGGATGGACGCCGTCGAACTTCGCAGAGTTGATGTCGAAACCGCCCTTACGGGCGTCTAGATCCACGCGAGGTTTGCCGGATGATTCATATATGCGTAGACCAAGAATGGCCGATATCAACGAATATTGTATTGACCCCTTTGGGGAGCCATTATACATACCTTCCCGGAAAAAGAATGCAACTCCGCTCGTCACGCTGGAAATTCTTGAGAGAACATTTGGGACTGCTAATGATTCAAAAAGTGGCCTAGACATGGATGGGCATGGACAATCCTCATCGGAATTAGCTACAATACGAAAGGAAATTGAGACACTTGATCTGTGCAAGGCCGTGCAGAGCTGTGGTTTTAAGCTAAAGCCCGATACAAAAGGCTTGCTTGTTCGTATGTCTATCTTCTTCAGCCTTCCTTTGAGCGGAACAGCTTCGAGTGTTCACGATATTTTCTGACCATTGCTCGGCTTAGTCTGGGAACAAAACGCCCATCCAAGCAGTCGACAGAAAGCTGCAGACCTAGTCGAAGATAAATGGGCCTCAAATGATCACGGCAAAGGGCAAATCCAAAGACCAACTATACCTACCGTATTGGGCCCATTCAAGTTACCATACCCACATATTCGCAGGCTGCAAGATGCTCTCTTTGAGGTCACATCATTCTACGTACCAGTAGACGATATGGAGATTTTCAAAACGGCGTACCACAGGTTTCGTTGGTATGTAGACTTTAGATTAATTCGTTCACATGAACACACCTCTACCTTCTACTCCATACTTACCAGTAACTCTAGGCCCAAAACCCCAAGGATTTGATGATCAAGGCGGGTGACTTTTCCCCTGCCCCCATGACGAGATGGCGCGGTGATCGGGAGGAGGGATCCTTCAATCGGAACGGACAGGATATGGCACGATTCACAAGCGTGATAAGATGGTATCCCGGCAATGAGGCCAGTCGATGGTATGATGAGTATGCTGAAAGAATATGCAAGAAAAATTATGAGCGCATGGGGCTGGAACTTGACGCATTGACGCTCATAGCCCAGAGCGGCGTAGAAACTAGAATCTTATATGTAATGCCATAGTGAGCGGTCAGCATCATGGCGCGCGAGAACAAAAGCATAGTAACAGTTCACATATCTCCAAGCCAGACATTTAAAAAAAAAAAAAAATAACAGAAGACAAAGAGTAGTTGTCATGAGACTAGAATATAAGAATTGGTCAGATTTCAGAAGCCAGGAGTAACAAATTGGAGAACATCATGACTAAAAGGAGTAACAGTAAGTATTATCAGAATGAAGAGAGCTCGAAACTAGCTTGACGAGTCGTTGAGAAATCGTTGCTTAAAGTTGGTAAATTCTGAATGGGCTCGGTTTTTCAACGTGCAGGATGGCGGCAGGAAAGCTGGGCACCGAAAAGTGGCATAGGCCCTTTAAATAGCCCAGTCTTTTTGCGAGTGGCCCCCCGTTACAGATGTTCTGCCCCACGGGTGACACTACGCATCCTCCTGGTTCCCCGCAGATTGTAAGAGAGTGTAGCTCACTACTTACCTAGATCCAATAAGACTAAGACCATCCTCGACCTTTCTTCCTTTTCTAATTCGCTTGTCATTCATGACCACCTTTATAGCCCTTCAGGATGGCCGGTATACTCGCCAACCTGCCATTTTTTAGAAAAGAGGCAAGGCCACTGCCGCCTGTTTCCCCTACAGATGAGGTCATTCCTGTACATTTATTCGATGACTCGGCTGCGGCACGCGGGATTGTCCTGGTCTCGACATATAAGTTCGACGACGTACTGGACCCATGTAAGCTCCATACTAGCTTGTCACATCTTTTCCAGATGGAAGGGTGGCGGAGGTTTGGTGGAAGATTTAGGTATCGGGTAAGCAATCGCAAAACACGGGATGTTAGTTCCTCATATTCTCTCAAGTCTGATTGAAGTCCTAGCCGGATGGCAATTTGGAAATACATGTCCCGAGTGTCTTTACAGAGGAACGTCCAGCCGTGCAATTGACTAAAGAAGACCACGGTGGCCCTATCGCAGAGCACCCTTTGGCCTCCAAGTTGCCCCAACCGACGGGCAAAATGGTGACTTCTCCAGGCCCCAAGGAATTTTGTTCTCTTGGACTAGGTCCTGAGACGCCTCGCAACATGGATGATTTCGTCTACTCTGGCAAACCTCAGTTCTGTCTGCATGTGCAGACCTTTCAAGATGGAACTCTCGTGTCCCTCACACACTCTCATGTGTCAACAGACCTGATGGGCTTGGCCGCCATTCTCGAATCATGGAGCCTTATCCTGGCTGGCAAGCCAGAAGCTGTGGCTCCTATGGTAGGATATCACGAAGACGCTTTTGAGGGTCTCTGGAATCCGCCTCCGAAGGAACAGCACGTTCTCGCGAACAAGGTGCTCGACGGCTGGCGTTTCAAATACTGGGGACTTCGCAGCTTGTACGAGTCGTGGCGTAGCGCGGACGTTCAATCGCGTGTCTTGTGTATGCCTAAATACATGATGGAGAAATTGATGCGAGAAGCCAGGAATCACGTAGTGGCTGAAGCTGATGCTGCTCCTGCGACGCCCAAACCATTTATTAGCGAAGGAGATGTCCTGACTGCACTGGCCTGCCGAATGCTCGCGCAATATGAAGGTCCCAATTCAACCCGTGAGTTGGCAACGATCATGGCCGTAGACCCTCGAAGTCGGGCCAGATCAGTTTTCCGTCCAGACACAGCTTACGTCCAGAACTCGCCAACAAATATCTACGTCTTTTGTGGCGTCAGTGAGGCTCTCGAGTTGCCTCTGGGAAAACTGGCCCTTCTGGTGCGGAAGGCCATAGCGGCCCAAACTACTGAAGAGCAGATCAAGGCAGCTACATATCTGTCCGTGCAGTCCATGAAGGCGCAGAAAATGCCCATAATATTTGGTGATAAGGACATGGCCACGCAGTTTATGTCGAACTGGACCAAGGGCAACCTTGCCGAACGGATGGACTTTGGCCCAGCGGTAGTGCGAGAAGCGGCTTCAAGGCCTTCGCACAGCAAACGAGGACATCCAGTATACTTTCAGGCATCTGATCCATCCCACAATACGGTTTCGGTTATCTCAAGAGTCTTTGTCGTGATGGAGAAAGACTATGACGGCAACACTTGGTTCTCGATTTCCTGGCCGGAGAAGATGTGGTCTGATATGATGGATTATTTGAAGCAATTTTCTTGAATACAAAACGGTCCAGACAAACTACATGTTGACAACGTTCGCCGACAGGAGGCCAAAATGAATAATGACTCCAGTATGTCAAGGTTAGCTATTTTACTACGAGGTGTTGATATTCTCTATTCAGTATCTAGAATGCTACGGCTAGACTGCGATATTATCTTCAAGATCCTACGAGAGTGATTGCAAATGTCTAGACCATTGTACTTTTCTTAGACCTTTTCAGTCCCAGTTCCCTCTATGACTCAGGAACGATCCCACACTCTTCACCTCCCTTATTTCCTTGTTAGATGCGAAGAGCTGCCTGTGCAAAAAGCACAGGGACGAGGCCGAAGAGTGACACAGTCCCCCAAGCCCAGTGGTTGTCCCTTGGGTAAGTCAAGACTTGAGAATAAGCTGCCATAGTTGTGCCAACTCGCAAGACCGAATAAGCGAGTTTCGGGTATCTAATAATGATGCCTCCCGCCGTGATAACGACACTTTGAGTCAAGACTGAGTCTAGCAACAAACCTACAACTGTCATGAGCACAATTGTATTTTGTTTCCCAAGCTTCACCGGCAGAGTCTCCAGTCCTTCTTTAGTATCCTCAGCAATGTCTCTGATATCGCAGGAGGTTTCTCGAAAGAATTGGTATAAGACTGCTAAGTAAAAGCTTCTCGCTCGCAGGGCATCGTCGCTGCATTGAGAGTTCTCTTGTTGGCAGTAATAAGCCATGCTTGCATGGGTGCACACACTGGCCATACATAGCGCCACAACAAGTGACTTTGCTTCGACGAGCTACACATATTCAGTGGCAGTCCATTAACTAGAAGATTCAAAAGCTTACCAAAGTTTTGGGCTTTGCCAGGATTAAACCATCTGCTTTTGAAAATCGAGGTATGCAAGGAGCGCCCCAAAGTAGGCCCAGTGGTAGGACTCGATATATAGGAATCACGGTGGGCAAGCCTGACATGACTGTGCAGACCAATACAATAGCCCATTGACCATAGACCCAGGTTTTCCAAACCCACTTTTCAGGTCTACTCGACGATGGTATATCTTTGTATGTGTCAATGGCTATTTAATTTGGCGTCGTAAGCACTCAAAAAATCACGAAAGAGGGAAATGTTTGGTACGTACAGTCTACAAGAGCTGAGACGGTGCCGATGAGCCCAAGAAGTCTGCCAGGGAACTGATATGAGCCAGTAGCCGTTTGTATGGCGCCTATCGCTGGTGCTAGATGACCTAGGCCCATCAACGTAGGCATCAGGCCGAGACTATAAAACGTATCTGTGCGTGACATTTCGGCGATCGTGAGCCGAGAACTTCACGAACGCGGGTCAAGCATATATAAAGGTGAACCAGGGCGGCAGTGCTCTCTGTTGATCAACGGTAATAGATATTCAATAGCATAGCTCAAGATTCAGAAGTATGTGATGGAGATCGGAACTAGAATGAAAGCATCAAGCACAGCCAGGTCAGATGTGTCCGTTACAATAGGGCTATGGGATGACACCCCCAATTTACATTTGTCTAACAATGCATGTCTCGGAATATATCGCCATTCATTACTATCCTCTGATCAGTCGCAAAAGCCCTCTGTGGAGATAGAACCGATAACCGGATCGGGCCAGAAAGGGGGGCGTTCGCTAATGACACTCCTACCAAATGGAGTTCGACACTCACAGCCATACTCAATGAAGAGATCTGCACCTTGCGTGGATTTGCCCTCAAATGAGATGACAATACCATAATCTGAATGAATATCATTTAGCAACACTTGTAATCATATTTAAGCTTAATTCTATAGGGGGCATTTGAACACTTTGAATCGGACTTATCAGACATTTTACCAGAAGTCTAAAGTCCTCAGTACAGTTATCATACTGGTATCATTAATGGTTTTTTTACTGCTATAAGTAACCTGTTAGGCTGGTGGGTTGCGGAGCTTTCTAGAAACACACCTCACGGGAACAAGACATGAATAGTAACTTTCCCACTTAGGTGAGACGCCGCGCTCGCCTAGTTATACTTGTAACACAATCTTGATTACTGTTTCCGGCTCAGGATCTTGCTCACAAAGCAGTCATTATGCATGGAATTTAGCGTTGACTCAGCCTGCATTGGACATGTGATAGGAAGCCTTGTCAGCGACCGCAAGCACACAGTAGTAATCAATAGGATGAAGTTGTCCGCGACGTTTTCTATGAGATACAGGTTTGGAATTGGAGGCCGCATATACCTGGCGGGTCGCGTAGGTTACATCACGCATCTCCCTTAACCTTGGCTTCTGAACATCTCTACAGTAATATGCTGTCGGAGGACCGGATATTGCCTACTTAGGAAGGCCAAGGAACCACATTCAAGGCACGATGTTTATAGTCTTTCTTAGCAGTTCTCTACAGCCATCAGAACTCAATTACATCGATTTCGGTATATCAATAGTGGAGTTTTGGCTCCACGGGGTTCCCGGCGGGGTAATCCTGAAGGATTCACAGAATGCACGATGACAACAAGAAGGATCGCGAAAACTGGAGCATGGTTTGCTCATCACCAGCGCCATATCCCCAGTGTCTCTAAGACCCACCGCCCTGTTCTTGATATGTGCATATAAGTGTGTCTAACAAAGCCCCCAATACTTGTGGGCATGCCGTCTAGGCACAGCTAGGTCCAATGATGGGCCACCGATATGATATATTTTTGGGGAATCATTTCGAGATCAAGACTGCTAGAAGTTCGATATTGGGCAACAATCCAGATGTCTGGTCACTCGGCATGTGTCTTGTCTAGTGTATGGCGCATGGCAATGCAACGTGCCATTTCTCTTCTGTTAGACTTTGTGCATACACTGGTTCCGCTTGAAGCCCACTCATTAAACCTTTCTTTTTTTCAATGTGATGAGAAATCGGCCGCAAGGCTCATCAAGAGTCACCTTGCGGACATTCTCCGGCCGCTTGTCAAGTCGCACAAAGTCGTAATCCAAAAGCAAATGCGTCAGCACTAGCTTGAGTAAGTTGCTTGTGAACCACCGCCCAGGGCATGCCCCCCGACCAAGACCAAAGTTGAGAAAGCTCGGGGAAATGTCTGTTACCTTGGGATGCTCCGGATCCTCCATTGAACGGCGCGGGTTGAAGCCGCCGGGGTAGGCCGCCTCATCGCGTTGATAGACCTTGATCGGAGCCGCAAGCAGCGCGCCCTGCGGAACATGAATACCGTTGGAAAAAGTGAAGCCTCCTTTCTTGCCAACAGCTCGCTCGAGGCCAGTCTCACCAATCGGATTGTAGCGAATGCTCTCGCGAATTAATGAGTCCATGAGGTCAAGTCTTTGAAAGAAACCGTGAGAGTAGCCATCGCCCTTGTCCATTTCCCTCTGGATCTCCGCACGCAAGTCTTCCACCATGGTCTCAAAATCACCTTCTGGTAATGAGATGAGATCATATACCAGATTGGTCATGGTCACGAGGTTGGTGTAGGACTGAACAAAGTTCAGAACCATCATTCTGGCCACTATGACCAAAGGGTCATATTCGTTTTCTGATTTGCTGTCCTTTTTGGCCGCCACGATGATTGCGCTTAGCATATCATTCTTGAATTAAGGTATTAGCTTGGATTCCTTCATATCCAATAAAACTTGTGACCCACTGGCAACTCTGGCTCAAGACCTTTCTCATCGGCAGCATCTAGAATGGCCATCCGTTCCTTGATGACAGGTGTCGCGTGCTTGGCTGCGGTCTTGATACACCTCATCAACGGTCGACACATGAGCGGCAACAATAACCTGAGGCGAGATCTCAGCAAATCGCATTTAAGAGGCTATAAGGATTGCACTCACGGGCGAAGGAAAGGAGGAATAAAGCGGGCGTACAACGCCGACGCGAAAAATGTAGCGGCATACTCTGCCGTGACATCCTGATACTCCTGGTTGTGACATAGAGGATACCCTGAGATGATGCGGTTTGCTGACCTGCTTAAAATGCGATTTGCTGTATCCCACATGTTGATTCTTGCGATGCCGTTCGTGTCGACTTGCGCTGAGACGACATCTTTGAGGGCCGCAGTCATTTCTTCATTCACCATATCCATTTTGGCGGGAAGCTTTTGGTAGAGCTCTTTATGCACAACATTTCGGTATACAGGGTGTATCACGATATGTGCCCCTAGAGTTGTATAATCGGGCACGAGGGCTTGTAAAGTGTATCTCTTGAGAGATATGTCGTTGTCAGGCTGGCGAACGTATTCATTGAGCAGCACTTTCGGAACCATGAGCATGAACCCTGTGCTGCAGTGCGGAATTGGAACCAGGTAGATATTTTTATCTCTGGCTGCAAGAATCTATCGCCGTCAAATCGTGTCAGATGCCTAGTTCTCTGAGCTTTACTCGTCAGGAGCATTTTACTTTACGATGAATTTCCGCGAAAAGCTCCTTGGACTTGAATGCGACATTCCATGTGGACTTCAAGAACGAACCCACGCCTCTCTTTCCTCCAACCCAGCTAAAGCTACGATAGTCCGGCGAGAGAGCAGCCACAAGGGCTGGCTTCATCAAATGATACACCCATGCTACCCAGGTTGCAAACAGCGCGTACAAGAAGATGCGAAACAGAGGTGCTTGCAATCCATCGGCGAGTCCAACTTCCATCGTGATGCCAAATAGTCGAGGCGTTTCTGAGTAGAAGAATTGAAGAATACTGGATGTGCCAACAGCAGAACTTGTGGCATAGGATACTAATTAGTATCAGGGTACGTACCGGACAGGGTTCACAACGCTAGACTAAGGTGATCCCCCGCCCGTTCAATCCCACTGCATGGTGGCTTACTGGGGTGACTTTAAAAATGTGACAATCGTGTTTGTACATGTACTGTGCATGTACTCAAGCACCTTGCTCTCACCAAAAACCTACTTTTTATTGCTATTTAGATTTCTTTTCTCTAATTATGCACCATGATAAACCTTCATGAAAGTTATTTTTTAGGAGGTATTTCTCGTGTTGTTTTTTAAGCTCCCGATGGAGACTGATTATGATTGTATTTAGTCACTTATATCGTGTCTAACTCGACTCAGCAACTAGGTTCTTAGCTTATTAGAGTCAATACTTGATGGATCAAGTGGCACAAAAATCTCATCATTTGCGACAAATTCAAGCAGAGCATTGCTGACCTCCTTACTCCTTTCTAACATGACCCAATGCCCGGCACCCTTTAACAGCTTTTCCGTATAGCCCTTGCTTGCGTATGGCCTGATGCCAAGCCCAATCTGATCCGGCCTCGTAACCATGTCCTCGGCGCCGCATATGCCCAATACAGGCACCCGAAGCGTGCGTTCTGCGTCGGTTAACGGATCTTCATCGGGGGCTTGTGTCCCACGCATGAGCGATCGGTAGTAGTTCAGTGACGCCGCTATGGTGTTTTTACGACCGTTGATCTCGAGCCATCTGGCCTTGTCCTGTTCACTGAGCCACGGCGGAAGGGGACCCTTCTTGCCGGCTGTCAGCCATGAGCGCGTGCCGTTTATTGCGGCAAGGCTGCTGACCCAGCTGATGTTATTATCGGGGTATGCCAGATGGAAAAATGACTCGAGCTTGCAGAGTTTGTCAGTACATGGATGTTTTCTAGGAACCTGAGGCCAGCATACATTCTGGACTATGATATTTTCAGCATCATACGAGTTGAAGAAGTACCAGTACCCTAATTGCATGTATCCGAGCTGTGATTGACTCATAACATTCAACCCGTCGACGTCAAAGAATATTCCTGGGGCAGTGTACCCTGCGGAAATGAAGACCAGCTTGTGAAAGCGCTCTGGGTGCCAGACAACCACTCGAGAGAGCAGCATGGAGCCCCAATCATGTGCAACACCAACAACCTGCTTTATGTTCTCGTGGTCTAATAACTCTACGAAGTGTCCACTTAGACGCTTCAAACGATACGCTTCAATATCGACACGTTTATCACTATCGCCATAGCCGAGACAGTCAGGGGCGATAACTCCATAACCAGCGTGAGTTAGATCGGCCACTTGGTATCGCCAGTCGTAACGTGACGACGGGTAGCCATGTATGAGAAGGTACGTGGTCTTGTCCCCTTTGGCGGCAATGTAATCGTAAGCGTAAGTGTCCCCGTCCTTGGTGGTAAAGCGCTTGTCAAAGGAGTCCATCGCAAACGTCAAGGACAGAACTGCTTTTCAGAGCCTAGACACTTGGGATTGCAAAGTTGCTTGGCGATTTCGGAGGAGCAAGGTGTGGGATGGCTTTCAGCATCTTCAAGCTAGATTTTGCTCATCAGGTCGATCAATCCTTTGATTGTATGTTCAATTGATATACAGGAATCTTTCTTCCGAAAGATTCTGAATCAGCTCAGTCTCTAGATCTAAATGTGTAGACTATTTAGAGCTAGTCATAGGGATATTTTTAGTGAATACCTAATTTGCCAGGGTTATGCCACAGAGACGCGGAGGTGATACAACTACCCCAGTGGAGGTGTAATATGAGCTAGCGCCGGCATAGACCCCCAGTCAAATTTGCCCGGGCCGAGCCACACAAGACGCAGATCGCTTCCCGAGAAGGCTTAATGAGAGGTGCCCGAATTCTTCTATGACCCGTGTATGAATAAACTAACGAACAACTTGGTAGGATTTCTGATGGTGGGTAGTACGTGACGGAAGATGTTGGCGAAATCGGAGGCCTTTCGGCTGTCGTTTATTGCTTTCAGGTTCCCTTCTGCCAGTTCTTGTTCTTTAATCAGTCGAAGGTCCACAATTGCTCAAGTAAGCGTTGCCGTTAAGGATTAGGTGGCTTCGTGATTGGTTGTGTCTAGATCTGGTTAATGGTGGCATGCGGAGGAACCGACCGTGCCGCTCAGATATGATCACCACTGCTGGCCTAGCATTGCATAGAGGTGGCTCATTCTTGCAATTTTTGAGTGTGTTATAGCAGAGGATTTGACGAATTGGATCTCGAGCTAGAAGCAATTTCGACGACATGACAGATGTTTTCCATAACGCTCCTGTTTCTCTAGTCAGCCCAGCCCGAGGTGAGGTGAATGGTGAGGGAGAGATTCTAGAGACACTGATGACGAGGTATGCCCCAAGAGAATCCTGAAATGTTTTCAGATCAACACTGAGTCGATTAGAAGCAGCACCGAGGTCTCTGTCTCGAAAGACAAAGAAGATGGTGTGGCCTTTTGGACAAAGCACACGAAGCCCGTCGTGACTTCGTTGCTCAAAGCGGTCGGAAGCTATACTGCTGAGCAGCAGGCATCTCACCTAGAATTTCTGGAGAAATATATCATCCCTAGCATGGGACGCGCGCCCGAAAGATCTCGCGCTAGATCCCTTCTCACACCCAATGGCTCGCCTTTCGAGACCAGCATCAACCACAGCGACAATGGCAAGTCATATGTGCGCTTCTGCTATGAGCCGGTATTTCCGGGGTCTGATGGCGTCACCGAGAGCCCTATTCCAGTCATCGGAGAAAAGGTGGGTGCGGACTTGCGCTGGTTTAACCAATTTGCCGCCGAGTTCTTCCCGTCCGAGGCAGACGATGCGATTCTGGCAGAGAAGGTGCCGAAGGACACGATCCGCATGCCCAAGGTATTCCTCGCGTTTGATCTCGTAGAAGGCAGGCAGACGATGAAGGCGTATTTCTATCCCATCATCAAGTACATGACCTCAAAGACCAACTCCGACAGGGCGGGCTTTGATCTGATCAAACGCCTCGATCCGCTTGGTACATCCTTTGGGCCCGCCCTAGATGCCATAGAGGACTACCAAAAGTTGTTGTACCAAGACCCGCCACTGACTGCTGTGATCGGTATCGATTGTGTGAGCCCGGAGGCTGGTGCTCGTATCAAGATATACATCGATCCCCAGTCCAACTCTTGGGAAACGGTCCGAAAGCACGTCACGCTTGGAGGCAAGCTGACGGACAAGACGACGCTTGACGGCTTGGCTATCCTGAGCGAATTGTGGAACCTGATGATCAATGAGCCTGAGGACAAGGAGATTGAACCTAACTTCACAAAAGAAGTCCGAGGCTCGCAGCCTAGCCCTAGTGGCGCTTGTTTCAGCTGGGAGCTAAAGCCTGGCCTGGCCATACCTGATGTAAAGATATATATCCCGTTGTGCCAGTACTTCAAAAGCGACAAAGCCATTGTGGAGGCCATGGAAAAGGTATTCCGGAAGCGCGGATGGGCTTGGGGTGTGGAGGGGGCTTATAAGAAGGTCATCTTTGATGCATTGTGAGTTGTGATCGATCCTCTATGATGTTTTTATGATCTAATGCCATAATAGTGGAAGCGATTGTGTTGATGAAGAGATTGAAACTCCATACGTGCACACATTTGTATCCTTCAACTTCTCTGAGAAGAAGGGGGCGTATATGACGACATATGTGGCACCATTTGTTCGATTTCCTTAACGTACGGCGATTACTGTTTTTAGCACTCTATAGTCTTGATGAATGTTTTCTACAATGAAAATCTGAATAGAATACTTCGCAAAATATTATAGAGATGGAGTGCTGCTGAATATAAGATATGAAAAAGAGCGAGTAGACAGATATGTAAAGCCCGCAACTTCAACTCACTGAATGCTGACGAATAGGGTAGGCCGTAGAAAAGCTGCTGTTTCATTCGATAAGAGTTGCTCGCCCTGGCTCGAAACTTTGATATGAGATCTAAGCCATCTGCAGAGTACCTTATGTTACTAGCCTTAGCAACTCTTTAGCAACTCATATGCCAGAATTGAATACACATTATGAATGAAAGACTTCATGCTGAGACTGCTTTCATCAAGTGATTGTTCCAAGACACATATCCACACACTATAAATCACTCATGATCTATGAAGATTTCGCAGTTCATCCTTTCACTTCATATCTGTGCTTTTTGAAAAGGAGCGGTTAGCTTAACTGTCTGCAGCCTACTTATGAGAGCACCGAATTGCACTTCTGCCTGTTGACCAACCTTTCATCACAAAACAGAAAAGGCAGGGAGAGTTCGAGTTCTCGGCAAAAGATCCATTAGTGCATTTATCAGTGTTACATATATTGATAGAGCTGGAGATTCTAGGTCATGCCAGAGATAGTTGCCTTGTCGGGAACTGCTAATAAAAAGGACAGAGACTTTGTCAGCACATTCGCCATAAGGACATCGTAAGTAGAGATCGCTATACAAGGTGAGAAAGGGAGGGGCTTACCAGTCAATTCCCTCCAAGCTATTGCTAGATGAAGAAAGACTACTGCTGCCTTCTATACTGCTATATTTTGCACACTAGAGTTAGGCATATCGTATTGTTACAATAACGTTCAGGCCCAGAGTCCGAATTTGATAGTCCAAATATTTCCAAAATGGGCTATTTTGGGGTTCTTCACCGTGATGGGTCGTTCCACAGGTGTGCGTTAACGTTAAGGGAACGACCCAATACAAAGACTTCTCTACCAAACTTACAGAACACAATAACCAGGACCCTACGGTAAAGATGACTCTTACCCGCGGTCCGCTTCCACAACACGTCCAAACCTTTCTCCGATATCCATATCCACCATCGCTGGCGAAACCAAATGTTAATATTCCTTACTTGAAGATTGAGTCAACTGATTTCTCTACTCAGATATCTATCTATAAAAGTCCTCATTTTCGGTGTCGACAGCCTTGAATTGCCATCGAACCACCAACTATCAGACAAACAGTTATTTACCCACTGGCCTGCCATCAAGACCCCAATCTGAGCAGGATCCTGTTGCGAGGAGACGATGTCCCAAGAAAAGCCTTTCACGAGGACAAAGGTTCTCATATTATCCGATACACACGGCATGACTCTCGCAGGCAATACGCCGAGCCAGCTTGTGGATGTTGCTATTCACTGCGGAGACTTGACCGAGGAATCGAAGCTCGATGAGTTTCGCGCAACTCTTGAGCTTTTGAACACGATTGAGGCCCCCTTGAAGCTTGTTATCGCTGGAAACCATGATTTCACATTGGACGCCGTAAGCTTCAGAAAGAAGGTTGAAGAAGCAACGCGACAACAGTTGGAGCCAGAGCTTATATCCGCGGTTTACGGAGAATATGATGAGGCAAGATGTCTACTGACGGATGCCAAAAAAGACGGCATTCATTTTCTAGACGAAGGCAAACATCAATTCTCTCTGCAGAATGGCACGAAACTGGCTATCTTCGCAAGTCCATTCACGCCATCACTAGGGGATTGGGGGTTCCAGTACACTCCAGACCAAGGCCATGTGTTCGATATTGAGAGAGGAACGGATATTGTAGTGACTCATGGACCTCCGCGGGGTATTTTAGATCGAACAAACTCTCGAGAAAGGGCAGGATGTTCGGATCTTTTCATGGCTGTCGCTAGAGCAAAGCCTCAGGTTCATTGTTTTGGTCATATTCATGAAGGCTGGGGAGCGAAGATGGTTACATGGAGAGAGACACTTGCCGAGAAGCCTTCACACCTAACTGACATCGATAACAACAAATCTTTTATCGTCGAGCAGCTTAGCACGTTGCAAAAGAGCAAGGTCGACACACCTGAAGACATGAAGGAGAAGCACGACAAAGTCAACAAATATACCGACCAAAAGTTCTGTTGTACAAGCCATTGCCATGGCGATACGGCAGTGTTAGAAGTTGGGAAGCAGACACTTTTTGTCAACGCATCAATCAAGGGTGACGAGGACATGCCCATTCAGCTGCCTTGGCTTGTGGAACTGGATCTACCCAAGGCGGATGCAGAGGATGAAGTCGTCGACGCACAGGGGGCAAGTAAAACTGCATTAGGAAAGAAGCGTGTTCTAGATGAGGAAAAGGATTTTGTTGAGGAACCAAGCCCCAAGCAACGGCGACTGGGGGGGCATGTATGAAGAGACGAGAGTGAGCTTTCATCCTGGCCACCTACGAATGAAGGACATAGTTTATACTTTAATATAAAGGTTATTAAGCTTTCAAAAGAAAAGCTATTAGTTAGGTTAGCCACAAGTCATATGTATAGTCATATGACTACGTACGTGTCGTCTATTAAGGTTATAGTCCTTAGGACACAAGTTACATAAAGGAGAGCATCTCCCACTCCAGGAGATTCTCACCTTTTACATATATACACGCATACTTACATACCTTCTTATTACTACTACACTTCACCCTCACTTCACTTACTTCCGCATACGTGAAATAACTACTGCTACGCTTATACTAGGTTCCTTACATTCTCTCATATAACCATAAAGCTCATATACACTCAGCATATACACGGCACTTTATTTTGATCACCCGGCACTAAATCGCCCAAAGAGGCTAGTGACCCCCCTACAGGTGTTTTTGAACCCTTGTCTGCTGCAGCCCCCGATCGGCCCCCACTATGTAATTAGGGAAACTTGTAAATTTAAGAGATACATAGTTTCTCGAGCTCTTTATCGACGACCATTTCTCTTCTGAAATTTTGGTGCTCACCCCTGCATCGACCAAGGCGTCGAAAAACCCACGGTCATTGATCATGGCCATACGAAGCAGCTCGGCGCAAGTTTCTTCGCTATTCTTTAGAGATTCCAAGGTACGATTGAATGATTGACTTAGCCCACACAAATAGTAGAAAAGTATCAATCTCAACATCGGCCAAGACCACGCTTTCATACTCGAGGCTTCGGCATGGAGCGTGTGGCCGTTCTCCCTCACGACGCATACCAAGAGAACGAGCTGATCCGGACCCATCAGTGTTTGATACACAGCCTCGAACTCAGGCCCTATGCACCGACCTTCTTCTAGCTCTATGATTCGTGCGTAGTGCTTCAAATCTCTGCTTAAAAGTGTCCAGTCATGGCTTGTGAGTGGCTCGCGACCGTACATTTCCATGAGATGCAAAAGATATCGGAAAATCAAGCTGGCACCTGATTGCTTGTGAATGGTTGGAGCGAGATTCTGCAGCTCCTTATCGCCATCGTAGCCAGCCATATAATCCTTTGCCGTCTGATGGATAAACTGCACTGGGTCGTCTGGATATGAGTGGCCTCCTACTTCGAGTAAGCCTCTGGACCGGCCGTAGAGACGATGCTGCATTTGCGTAACGGTAAGAGCATTAATTTCTCGATACGATGGCCGATTGCTGAGGATGAAGAGCGATGCGGTAAGTAATTGATACATAATGAAAGGATTGCGCCAGAATGTCGATATTCTAAGGAGAATGGCGGCTTCCTCATTTGTTCTTGTTGTGGTCACGGCTGAAATCCGGCGCCCGCGTCGGATTGCCCTAGTATATAGTTCTCTCAACTCGGTTGGAATGCCCTCTAGGAGTTCATAAAGCTCCTCATAGCTGTCCCCTTCACGTATTCCCTCGGCAAGTTCTTCAATGACTAGCTTGACCCATATGAACACCCCCTGAGCTTTTTCTTCAATCTTTTGAGAGAGCAGATCAAGCTTTTTTGTTCCATCTTCCTTCAAGGTATGCCAAGTAGCAGCTGTTTGTATTGTCCCATGAACATAGAGTTCAATGTCACCTGCTGTGTGGTTGTGGATCTCGAGTCCAGGGCAGTGGCGAAACTGCTCTTTGAAAATGTTCTCGGATCTAGATGCCAAGCAGATTCGCGCCTTGAAAGACGGGTTCTTCGTAAGTCCCTGTAAAGACACTAAGACGTTGATGAGATCTCTTTGATCACCGTCGTGTTCATCGAGTGCATCGATGAACAAACATATGTTTTTCTGAATGTGGATTCTCTCTGCAATATTCAAGAAGGCGGCTTGTAACGATCGAATATCCCAAGACTCAACACCCTTATTTCGGATCGCTTTGGTTGAGGGATTAGTTTCGCAACATTGAGCTGCGAAGAAATCAAATAATGTGACAAATATGGAGGAGTCCTGACTGATTATGCCAAAAAGAATCTCTTTCATAAGTGCATCGAGTGATTTCTGAGCGGACATTCCACGATCATGAAAGAAAAATGGGATGATCCACCAGGGTTTCGCGTCGTACTTTTTGAGAAGGCTAAGTGTCGTGTTATGAGTAGCCGCAAACTTCATGAGTGTCGACTTTCCCGAACCGGGTTTACCTTGAATCCAAAAGACGGTGGAATCAATTTCTCCGGTGAGCCAGTTACGAAAAGCCACTTTTTCGGTGTCAAACAGCCAACTGTGGGTCTCTTTGTAAGATGGTGCTACATCCTCGAAGCGTCTTCGAGACATCGGTACGTCAAGTGAATCTAGACATATCTGATAAACCTCGTCAAAAACGAGTCCATCAGGATGATTTTGGAGGTTGAGGTTGGTGGAGAGTGTAAGCAGCTTGACATCCCGATAACCGGGGGCCTCGGACGTCCACTTGCGCAAAACTCCAATAATGCGTAAAAAGTTGGTATCTTCCATTGACGAGAACTTGCCCATATCTCTATGATTGGCGTACAATGATCCTCGAGTCTCGCGGAGATAGCCTATTGTTGCTGAATCAGGCTCCACAATGCGGGTACCCTGGGTATCTAATTCTTCTCTGAATGAGTGCACTTGGATGCAGCCGTTGGCAAGCACCTGACCGAAGCTTCTTGAGATTCGATCCAGTACCTCCGAATTGTTTTCCAGAGACCGTAATAAATCTGTATTTGGACGCTGAAGAAACAATTTCGAGAGCTGAAATACAAGTTTTGCAAGAGTTGCTGCCTTGGATCCATGATGCGGAGTTCCTAGGAACATTACGCCTATCGTTTTGGACAGAATAGAATTTGGATCTAACACAAGATTGTCGATTCGTGATATGCTGAGCGCATCCTTGACGACGATTCCTCCGAGACTATGAGCAATGAATATAATGGGCACTTGCTTTTCTTCCTCTGTTTTCCGAATTGAGTCAAGGTCACACAGCAAGGTCTCCGCGTGGTGAAATATCGAAGATCTTGAACTAGGGGTCCATATTTTTTCGATTTGTACATCGTATCCCCATGTCATGATCCGTGCTTGAGGAAATGCATGCGGGAGGAGATCCTGTGGCCAAGGACTTCCGTTTCATGGCCATGGGCAGGTTTGTCGGTTGCATCTCCTGTCAATGATGGACTTGTTCTAATATTAGAGCCTCGAGGAGTTTCACCGGTGGACGGTTGTTCAGCCTTTGACCCCGTTTTCGACCATGTATTTCTAGGATGTCCAAATAAGCCATGAACAAGGACGATACTTTGAGATGAAAAGAGCAGTCAGCGAAGCTAAAATTCAAAATCTAGGTGCGGACTCATATTACTCATATTCACGCTGCCGGATACCCTTTGGTTCATAGACAGTCGTGATTCCGATGCGCTCCACAATCTCATTCTTCCCCTGTTTAGCAGCCTCGTGGGCAAAGAGACTTCTGAAGCGCATAGGAGTAGACAGGGTAGGATCGCATGTAGAACAATTCTATGAACTTATCACAGCACCCCATCAAACGTGATGCGCATATATGCGTTGAGCATGAAAAGCACAGGTTCATATGCTTAACATTTGATCATGAAATCATCAATGCATATCTACGTTGTTTCAGCCCAAGGCATTTTTGTCAGTTGGGCAACGCCATGTGAGCAGGCTACAAATGTTGACACTGAAATTCAATAATGTGGTTGCTAGTAACATAATTGTTACATCCTTGCGCTACTGTCTGCTAGGAAAGTACTGTACAGGACAATAATGCTGTCCCACCCCCGAAGCACGTTTTGCCTAGTAGTTTGCGTTGACTCTGAGGCGGCGGGCTCCAGCTTCAACGTGACCAATTATTGATGCCCAACTTCACTGCCGAAATCTTTTATGTCTGCAACCGAGAAAAAATATCTTTCTAGAACTTCTTTACCGTTTAGGGTTGCGACGCCGGATGAGGGTTAAATAAGGTCACATAAGTTGGTGGTTACACACTCCATCTACACCATTGTGCATGACCTCTCTAAATGAAGGCCCTAGACAGCAGCGTTATATGCTACACTAGCGCCTTGTACGCGGGCCTGGCAACTCTCAGTACTAGGTTATACTTGCATCTCACTTGATCAATCCGTGGTTTGCAATCTATCTTTGGTGTCTGTAGCAACTATTCGGTTTCGAGCGAAATCATACTTGTTTGATTGCCCTCCTCAAAATTTGTTCACCTTAGGCATCGCGCGTACTAAGTGGCGCGGCATAATAGCCGCAACCACACAGTTTGGCTAATCCTCCGGGCCTAAGCGTCAAACAACATCAACCCTTCGAGTGCGAATTGAGCAGTTCCTTTGGACTGCCTACCTAAGGTAGGTAGGTGTAGGTACCGCACGCCCAGCAGGTGCCTAAGGTGCACCTGGCAGGTGGGGCATGCGTCATAGGGTCCGCATTAGCGCCCGTGGTAGCTCTACTGTGGGCAGAGCTTCTTCACCTGAGCAACGCCACTCCTCAGGAACCATCAAGGTGCTGGAAACGGTTGTCTCTTCACCTCAGCCGCTGGGCCCGTATTGATTGTCTCTACAACTTCTCAGCATCATTGACAAATTTTCTTTCTTGGATACTAGAGACCTGATATCTCAGATAACACTATGCTGTCCAAGGCCGCTCTCGTTTGTGGCGGCCTGGCCGCGGTTGCTAGGGCGTCTCAACCTGGCGCTGTGAGCCCAGTCGCAGCTCCAATGCGAGAACTGCAATGGGGTCAGATCAACTTCCTGCACACAACAGATACCCACGGCTGGCACGGCGGACATCTGCAAGAGTAGGTTGCCAGAGCACGGAACATGCGGGAAAGCATCATCTAATTTGTTTTGACAGGTCGCAGTACTCGGCTGACTGGGGCGACTACATCTCCTTCGCCCACCATCTTCGAAAGCAGGCAGACGAGAAGGGTGTCGATCTATTGCTTGTGGACACTGGCGACCGTGTAGAAGGAAACGGCCTATACGATGCGTCGACACCGAAAGGCGAATATACCTACGATATCTACCGAGAGCAGAATGTCGACATCATTTGCACGGGAAACCATGAGCTATACCAGGCAGACACCGTGGAGCGGGAGCATGACCGAACAGTCGTCAACTTCAAAGACACTTATATTGCGTCGAACTTGGATTATGTGGACCCAAAGTCTGGCGAGAGAACACCCATGACTCGGCGATATCGGAAGTTCCAAACAAAGAACCAGAAGCTGAATGTTGTGGCCTTCGGGTTCTTGTTCGACTTTACTGGCAACGCAAACAACAGTGCGGTGCAGCCCGTGGAGGAGACGATCAAGGAAGACTGGTTTCAAGAGGCCATCAGAGAGAAGCCTGACTTGTTTGTCGTGATTGGTCATGTCGGCATTCGGATGGACGAGTTCAAGGTGATCTTCACAGCTATCCGAAAACAGAATTGGTTCACTCCGATTACCTTCCTAGGCGGACATGCGCACGTCCGCGACGCAACCTTGTACGACGCCAAAGCTTTCGCCGTAGCGAGTGGCAGGTATTTCGAGACCATTGGCTGGGTGTCCGTTGATGGCATCAAGAAGAGCGATAAGGACAAGGACAAGAACAAGGAGGACGATGTCACGACACAGGCTATCAAGTTCAACAGACGCTACATCGATAACAACCTACTTGGACTCTATCACCATAGTGGCTTGAATGAGACGACATTTCCCACTGAGCACGGCCGCAACGTCTCGAAAATGATCACCGAAGGGCGCAAAGCATTAGATCTGGACTTCACGTACGGGTGTGCACCCCAGGATTATTGGATGGCTAGGACCCCCTACCCCCACGACAACAGTATATATAGCTTGCTTGAGAAAGAGGTCCTCCCTGGCGTCATCGTCAATGAGACCAAGGATGCTCTTCCAAGGCTAGCTATTATCAATACGGGAGCCATCAGATTTGACATTTTCAAAGGGGCCTTCACCAGAGATACGACATACATCATCTCTCCATTCTCGAGCAAGATGGCGTATGTGCCCGCTGTGCCATACAAGGTCGCAAGCAAGGTCATCAAGCTGCTGAACAGCGGCGGCAGGATTTTCGAGGGCACCGGTCTAGACTCAAGGTATCTAATGATGCCCGAGCAATGGTCTCGGACTGAGTCAATTGTCTATCCAACAGTCGAGCCCGATCTGCTTGGTGTGGTAGAAGAGGGCGAACAAAGACCACTAGGAGACGACTCAAAAGACGAACCAGATCTTGTCGGAGGCTACACAACCAAGGACGATATTGGCAACGATGGCGATGACGCCGTCCATTCGCCTCTCTCGTTCTATGCACAGCCGAACTGCATTCAATCTGAGATTGGGATGCCTGAGGATGGTGACCCGGAGAAAGTTGATCTTGTCTTTACCGACTTCGTTCAGCCATGGGTTCTTGTAGCTCTCAAGTTCAGTGGAGGTGACTATAGCGATAAAGACGTGAAGCTGTGGGATGATGCTCCTTTTACAGATTTGTTGGCTGGTTGGATCAAGAAGAATTGGAAGGGAGATTGTTAAGAGATGTTTACTAAGGAGTTTGGGAACAATACCACTTGGAGGCCACATTTTGGAGAACCAGGCTATTGCTCAATGCAACATATTTGGGGAAGATCAGTACGGAACCTGTGGGTTTTCTGATCATCTAGATGGAGTTCCATGTTTTTCCAGTGCATATACATATTTATACAAATTAACCTCCCTTGACCTGACTCCGAACAGCAACCATAACGCCATACGTGCCGTGTCAATGCTAGATTTGGTCGAGAAGTTTTCTTCTCCTCCTTTCTATGAGCTCCGCTTGGACCTCCTCCACAGTCGGCAACACCCAAATCTTGCCGTCTCCCGAGTCGCCTGGTAACGGCTCCCAGTCCGGTGGCACATCCTTTGGTCCCGTCTTGGCTAGGTGCTCAAATGCTTCTCTCTCCTTCTCTGCCTCGTACTCTAATAGTATCTCGGTCTCCTCATCTGGGCTGTAGCCGTAATATGCCGCGTCGACTTGTTTCCTCAAATCGTCCCTTGTCTCTAACGGCTTCTCTTCTTGTGACTTCGCTTTCGCCGCTTCGAATAGCTCCTTGACACCGGGCAATTCTTTTGCTCGTCCGAAGTATCTACCTCGAAGTTAGCATCGCACTTCATCTCCTCACGAGCAATCGCAAAGACTGCTCTCCCCGCCTCAGATCAAGCATACTTGTACCCCTTGCCAGCACCAGGTATCTCGCGCCCGCTCTCGTCGTATATCTTGCCTCCGCCGCGCATGTAGTTCGGCCCGCCGAGGTTCCGTATCTGCACCTCCCACATGTACTTCTCGCGCATCAGCTTGTTGATCTCGTCGTTGAGGTCGCGGATCTGGTAGTCGCTCAGCGCCGAGTCCTGGATGCGGGAGACCTTGCGCGAGATCTCCTTGAGGACCTGCCCGCGCCACTTCTCGCACGCCGGGATCGAGTCCTGCTCCGTGATCATCTTGGGCCGCCGCGTCCGCCCCGCGTCGATGATGCCCAGGTCCGCGGCCTGCGCCTCGCGGAAGCGGAACAGCATCGACTGCGCTTTCTCAGAGTTTCGCGCCTGTGAGGGAAGGGTTAGTTGTGCTATAGAAAGTGAAAGAGAGCACTTGACTGACCATTTTGACTGTGGTGACGCTAGCCGGGACCTATTAAGGAGAGGTGTCGTGTCGTGGTGTTTCCGGTGTGTTTGCAGAATGATTGAAGAAATCGGGCTTTCAGCCTTGTCGACTTCCAAGTGGGGCATTGGATGTCAATCTGGCGAATTAGCGTTAGCATTAATACCACTGAAGCGCCTCATTCTGTACCTAGCCAAACATTTACAACCACCTCATGCTTCAAGGCATCCGACACTGGCTGGATTGTTAAACCTTTCTCGATCCTAGAAGTTTTGGTTGTCGTCTAAGTTGCAGGTTACTCAACATGAGACAGTTTCTAACAAGTCCATGATTGCCAAATGTCTACTCTAGGAAAGTAAGAACAAAGCTTAGGACCTCATCAGTGCCAGTCCATACATGCGAACAACAGGCTGTTGTATTGATAGCTAGTGCTATCACCATTTCCTACTGACATTTTCTATACATGAATTTCCTTCATGGATCATTGGCTCTTCCAAAGTAGGAGGTAGCCGACGTGTGCGGAAGATTGCCTCGAAGTGCCGCAAGTGCTGCCTTGGTCAAGAGCGCCATGCAGGGTGCATATCAGAGCTGGCGGCGAATAGTATGTGAGCTCGACGATAATTGGGCTCCCATAGCCTTGTCTTATTACCTGAGTACCGCAGTTAGGAGCCCTATTTAATGTCTCGTCATCGGCTTCTCGTTGCCAACAATCCGCCATTTCATGCTGACTCAATTTTCCGTCATTCAATTTACGCGAGATGGAGGTCGCGGCGGCCGCCGTTGCTTTTGTTTCCTTTGGCATTGAAATCGCTAGAGGCACGATTGCCTACCTTGACGCCATCGATGATCGCGATGGCGCCCTACATGCAATAGCTCAGCGAGCAAGAAGGCTTCGTACACAGTTCGAGACCATCAATTTCGCAATTCAGGATCAAGATGTCGAACACCAACTGCCTGGTGAGAATGTTCGGGCCTGCATCGCAGATTGCGAGAACCATCTGAGGCCTTTGGAAGAATTCCTTATAGAAATCAGCGATGCACCGCCGACTTTAACTACAGGGTTGGGCTCAAGAACCTCGAGGACGAAAGAAACTATCGATCGGATAAAGAAGAAGGGATTCTACCCGTTCAAACGCAGCAAGATTCATACGCTCGAGAAGAGGCTCGAAGGTGCAAATCTGGCGCTGGACATAGCGCTGACGACTTTAAACCTGTGTGTATTTCACTATCACTGCTTTTCTATGTTTTCTAAGCTTACTGTTGGATCGCAGTTCCTTATCGTCGACTGTCCAGAAAGATGTTTCGACTAGCTTGATGATTGTGAAATCTTTCGAGTCCGATTTGTCCAAGATACATGATCAAGCAGATGCAGGATTCAGATACACCCAGCTGGCTCTCCAAAATCAATCACAACAGCTCGAACAGTCACTTCCATCCATAGAGCAAAGTATCACCAAGATGGGCAGCTCTATCGATGATATAAGTTCAGCACAGCTGTCCCTCTCCACTCAGCTGGATAGTGTCGAGGAGGTTATCAATAAAGCACTCCGGCGTGAGCTATCGGATCATAAGAAGGATCTGCAAGACTTGTTGCAAGGAATCCTTGGTTTATCTACGGATGATCTTGATGTATGATCCCCTATATGGGTGGTCGCAGTAAAGATGAGCTGACTTCATTGCAGAGTAGCACCGCCATACGACGATTGGGCTCGAAACCTGCAGCTTTGCGCTCCATAGCAGATGCGCTCGGCGATCCAAGTACTTTATTGGCGCCCCAGAGTGGCCAAGAGCCTGAAGATTCAGCCCAGGACACCATCCCTAAAGCTCAAACGATATACTCATGCCGATGCAATGCACGTTTCTACCGCAGTACACGATTGGGTCAACTGTCTTTTTATAAGGATCATCGCAGTCACCACCATGTGCTTGGGTGTCCTCGATTTGGCGTACAGCCCTTCCAGAACAAGCGTACCTACAAAATCTCATGGAGCGGCCTTTCAAAAATAGTGTCTAGGACCATTGAAATCTCGTTGCAGATCAACTTAGGTGCAGGCGCATGGAGCCTTGCACCACAAATAACAGCCCACCGAACTATACAAGAACTACAGGATCCTGCTTTTGCATTAACTTACGTACTGAATCAATACAATGCTAATGTAGTTTATGGCAATACTAGACACTACCCTGCTGTCGTTCACTCATATTTCTCGCGACTCGAGAACGTGTACCGGAGCCGAATCTCGTGTGTTACGGATTATATGGAAAGTGGTCAAACAATATTGCAAACAATATTGGGATTCAATAAATTGCCATGTAGGCCAGCCCCATCTCCTTTGATATTCTCGCTCTCAGAACAGTAGGGAGAAACTGGTGTTACTAACATTATCCTGGGTCTATAGGTGACGAAGACATGCTTGACACCCTACTACCGCATTTGCAAGACTTCATTCGGGATTGGGATGTGCCAACGGGCAGTGGCGCTTCAGGCAGGTCTGTTGTGAATGATGGTGATTCCTATTTGACGTACTGATCTTTGTCTAGATCTCCGGTTGAGTCTCTCTTCGCGCATTGTCACACCAATGGTTTCAAGGCCCGATGGCTTGAGGCATGTGATTTGCTATATATACGAAGCGACAAACCTTTCACTTGTGAGTCTTATTTAACGCCAATGAGCATGAGAATTGCTGTGTGTGCTTCTGAGAGTATGAGAGAAGGTAAGCAATCACTCAAATTCCTTGAATGGGCCTAATGCCGTTCCAGCACTTGATCCAAAACCACTTGCTGCGGCTATACTGAAAAAGGATAAACAAGAACTGGAGAGACTCTTAGATCATGCCTGGGACCCCAGCTACTACGAAAACATGATGCGAATGACGCACCTGCATCTAGCCGTGGGATGGCCGGAAGGCCTACAGGCACTTTTGATGGAAGCATCTCCTGACTTGATTGAGGTTCGTGACAGCGCTGGCAAAACTGCATTAGAGTATGCCCTGGATTGCAGCATAGACTTATGTTGCAATGAGCGTTGGTGGCACGGCCCGATGTGTAAAAACTGCGACTGCTACAAATCTGCCGAATTGTTGCTTGAATATAATGCTATTATCCCCAATGAAATACCGTTCGCAGGTTCAACACGAACTCGGATGGTTTTGCTTCAGCATCTTAAGACGCGCAGTCTGAGATTTCGTACATTAGTATCGAAACGTCGGCAGCTGATCGATCGTCGCATGCAGAATGGATGGGATATAGGACTTCCAGCAATCTATAAGTTCCACGAGGAAACGGGCGTGGTGATACCACATATGCTTGGAAATCAGTTCAGAGGCTGGCGCTCAGTTTACAGCCGTATCTGGGATACGGCTACTGCTGATGCTGCATACTCTCTTGGTTTCAGGGACATCAATGACGGTACAGTCGGGGATTGGTTTGAGTCAAATATTATTGCAATACGGGGATTGGGGCTTGGTGTCTGGGGTTTGACTCACGGAGGGAGCCTCACTGTGCCATACGGGAACGGTACAGTAGCCCACGGAATTATGGACGGCATTTCAAGATCTGCAGCTGAAAGCGAGCAAGAGACAACACTTCGACTCCTGAATTTGGTGTGCCCACTAAAAAGCAGCGACGGGTGTACTTGCAAGTGTAGCAAGGGTGGGTGCTATCCGTTGAACATTTATTTACGTCGGATGCATCCATATCACCTTGCCCTCGAGCTCCTGGAAGCTAGCGGAGTCGACCTTGGAAGGACTTCTTGGTTGCCATATCATTGCATCCGAGCACTTGTGTTTGAGAAGCTTGGAATGCACCACACCTGCTGTCAGGACAACGACGATACACTGAGGCATGATTGGGAGGTTGCTGTTGACGATGGCGAGCTAATGGCTATGTTTGATGTCGTAGTGAAAGATTTGGAAGACAGATTCAGAAGAAGTGGCCAGACCTTTCGGCAATTTGCGGAAGGAACACTAAGAGAGACGACCAACGACGTGCGGACAAAACTGGAAGCGCAATCTTTGAAAGATGATTCTAAGCGAAAACTTGAGACTTTTGGGAGTGTTTGGGGACCAGATATTGCCAGGCCAGTGACAACTGAGATGCACATGGATAAGGCGGATCCGAAATTTTGGTTAGGATTCATGGATATGATCATGCCTGAACTTGGAGATTGCAGCAGAGACCACTCGCCATTTACAACAAACTACGACTTGCCCTTCGAACTTTTGCGCCCAGAAGAGGATAACTATTAAGATTTTTGCATAGATTTCATAGCTAGCGGATGCATTTTCATTTGTAAAGAGGAACTCTGTGCTCAGATATATGAAACTCTCTCTTCGTCGCCATGTAGATACGATGACGGATGCCATAACACTAGGTGATAAAATTTCTGAAATATGAAGTAGGATCAACAATATCAATACATGTAAGAAAGTGAGATATTTGTTGAAATGTTATTTTATGAGTGACGAAACATTCATTTTGCTGACTTAGGAATACGGCACAGTCCTAGATTACCTAGGTAGAGAGGTCGCGGTCACAATCCGTTTGTCTCAAAGGATTGGCGTTTATGAGGCTCTCGGGGGCCTGGAGTTAGGTGCGCTTTGGCGACCTGTGTTTGATAGGTGGGTAGCGACTCAGAAAACCCCACCAACCAAGTTGGAGCAGTCCATGGGTAACTCCAGCCCGACATACGAACAAGTTCCATTTCGCGATCGTTCCCGCCAGGTGTTGCGGCCATCATGGACTTACCGTCATTTCTATACTAAGTTTCTATTGAGGGCAGTCGTCCCGTTCATATCTGACTTGTGTCTAACGCCTAAGTATATCGGCGGTCAAAGGTAGGAATTACGCTACTATACACTGAGAATTTCTGCAAAGTTCACGCACCCTAAATTCTTGCTATCCCCAATAAGCAAGCACAACTCACGAGTTGGCTGTTATATGTTGTTCGCACTCATATCACAATCCTCAGCATATCTAATCAGCCAGCGCCTTGTCGTCTGCTCTCCCCTACAAGCATTGCCGCAAGCCCAAGCGCAGCAGGCCTCTGGCATCATGAGTGGAGTGCATGATTGTTCGGACATCACGGTTTTGCTCCCGTACACAACTAATCTCTTACTGGGCCGATAGGAAAACTTCTTAAAACGAAACGTTGGGTCCGATTACGCCATTTCTTTTCATGTCCTCAACTCCACAGCTTGCAATGAAGACAAGATCACGGGATGAGCTTTCCCACCTCTCGATCCTTCAGGTTTATTCCTCCGGTCTAAGCCGTCGCGACATGAGAACTCGTTCGAAGAACAGAGATCTGAGCAGGCACGCAACACACATCCTCTCCCCTCTTTCTCTATTCCATTCGTCTGTTTCTCCATCTACTCGATGGACACAAGAGCCGCAGTGATGACATTTTAGCACCTACCAGAGGCATGCACGCTATCACGTCCACAAGCTCCCATATGAGGACCGCAATGATTGCCCAAGCGCGTGAGCGGGCTTATCCACGCAACGCGTCGAAAGACGCCGCGGGGGTGCTTGTGGCCGAGATGGCAGCCAATGACGGCAACAAACAATATAGTTTTCAATCAGAGCAGGCTGCGCGTCCAGCATCGAGGAAGACAGCGGAAGCCAGCCAAGTGGTCTAGGCCGAGGAGGGCGGCTGTCGTGTTTTGCGTTTCCTTCAGAGCCTTACCAGCTCAAACAAACCTTTGCCCGGTGATGACGAACGTCCAGAAAGCCAAATTTGCAGGCAGCGGAAGCTGGAGGTGCCTTTGCTGTTGCCGCTATGCACAGGGCCGCCATCGAGCGGCTGCATCTTCCATCGCTTCTGTTGTCGTTGAGAACTCAAGAGAGCTAATCTGAGGGCATTCTTTCCTTGTGTTTTCTATCCCCTTTACCCCAACGTTTCCCTGTGTTCATGGCACAAGCAGCGGGAGGAAGACCTTCCACTTGCATTTACAATAGATTCAGCCATACAGCGACAATTCACGATAGCCATCACATTCATCAATTGCATTCAACATGAAATTCATTTGACGCCTAGAGGACTTTTTGTATCCCTGACCATTGTGGCCGTTACCTATGGTGACACATTTACACAGTGATAACCCAGATCACTCCCCCTCCCCACCTCCTTGCAATTTTAATGTCTACTCGTAGATCAACATCATCTATTGCGTCTTCTTAATCGTCGATGCCTGGTTCTTGGGCGCACTGAACAGCCAGATCAGAACAAAGAGGAGCCAGCCACCGATCGTGGCAATGATGCCTCCCAGCCAGGGGTACGCCGCCGTGATGAGGTAGGAACGCGCCCACTCGTCGTGGGCCATGTGGCGGACGGTGACAGTCAGCTTCTCTTCAATGTTAGTGAAGAAAGGCCGCTTGTAGTTGACCATGAAGTTGAAGATGCCGTGCTGGTCGGGCGTTGTGAAGTCGACGGCATACACCGCGAACTCGCTCGAGGACCGAGAAGGATCATGCTCCAGCTTGAGACGGTGGAAAGGAGACAGCATGCTGAATTCGAGCTGGAGATCGTCTCCTTCGGGGACGATGAACGGCGCCCAGTGATCCCACTGCCATTCAGAGATAGAAATGGAGTAGGACTAAGATTCGGTTAGCGAACCACTTGAAATCAATAAGCCGGGTCAATACGTACCACGTCCTGCTTGATACGGTAGATAGAGGGGTTTGAGATATTACGAGCGCCCTCCTCGTTAAGGTGATGCTCAATCCACCTGACCTGCACGACACCGATCTCCTGGAAAGCCCAGCCAGTCAATCGCTTGGCGAACTCGCGGTTGAACGTGGCAACCTCCTTCTTCTCACCAACCTTCTTGACCTTTGCATCGAACCACTTGTCCTGCAGCATCTCTGCCGAGCCAACAACGGCGAATCGCGCAGAGTTGCGGGCCTGGAAGGCGGAGACAAGAGCAAGCTGCTCGCCGGCAGCAAACAGGTCATCAACCACCTCGGCCTGCTCTTTCGGGTCGTAGCTGTATGCGGTGCGCGGGGCACGGAGGATGGGGGTGAGGAGAGCGCCGCTTCCCAGAGTATGTCCAACACCGCGAGGGAAAGCAAGCAGCTGGTCCTTGCTGCCGCTGGCGAAGAAGTCCTTCAAGCCTGGTCGGAGTGGGCCCGGAGGAGGCAGAGCGAGCACATCATGCAGGTCCGAAGCGCTCGAGGCATCGTAGTTGAAGTGGTCCACGACGAGGCCAGTTCGGTCGGCAGGGAGTTGGATATCGAGCTCGAGAAGGAGGGAGTTGATGGCGGTGGGAGCGGGTTGGCTGGAGCTGAGGGCCAGGAGGATGTTGCCGTTGGCATTGATGAAGTCAAGGAGGACCTTGGCAGTCAGGTTGGGACCAAGACCTATTAAACGATTAGTTGGTTCCTATTTATCTCCTTCCTCTGTGTGCATACCCTTTGACTTTGTAGGGAAGATAATGACGTGGTCAAACGTCCTCGATCCCAGGTGGAACAGAGCCAGAGACTCCATCTTGGGTGTCGCATGGCTGACCTTGAACCCCCGATCTGTGTTGATGTATCAGCTTCCAGTCCCCATGCCACATCAGTTTCCAAAGGAAATCATACCCTCTAGATCCCTCACAAACTTGGAATAGCTGGCCTGCTCCTCTATATCATCCCAGATCGCCAGGATGCGGCGGCCACCCACGCTGATGGCCTGGGCAGCAGCTGCAAGCAGCAGTAGCAGGAATGAGAGCAACGACTTCATTGTGGGGAACAAAGAACAGTTAATTGGAAGAAAAGAAACTTATACACTCCCTCTCCGTGCTCACTCAATTGGGCAGGGAAGCCAAGGAAAGTGAAGGTCGCGACAGCAATTCCTTGCTTCGCATGTGGGAGCTTTGGAGGGTGGTTCAGCCTTTCAGTTCACATAAAGTCCACGCTGTGCTCTTTGCTGCCCCGTGGTAGCTTTGGGGATACGTAGTCCTTTGCCAAGACCGACAGGGGTCCTGGTGCTTAGCAGCTCCGTGGCTTTTGGGGTCAAAGCTACAGGGGGGGTTAATCCGACCTGCTGCATTGCCGGGCATATTGTTCCGATTGGCCAATCTCTGCTCTCCCAATTCGACTTCACGCAACCATGAATCCACCAAGCTCTCCCGCAGCTTGCTCAATCCACTTGTTCGTCACGGTCACGGTCGTTGAGCCTCACCTCACAGACTTTGCGCACAGTTAGGTAGGGGAACAATACGCATCGTTTGTTCTGCATCATCACCACTGACTTTGACTCCATTACAGGCCAAAATGTCCGCCATAACCCCTCGATTCTGGGCCGGGCCCATCCGATACTGCCGCTGGGCTGCGAGGGAACGACCTGCCTACTTCTGGTCCGTCGCAGTTGGAGCTGTCGGCCCTATTACCCTGCTCACCGTTCCTCCCCTGAGGAGGAGGCTTGGAGATTACGATGCGCCGCCCATCCCGATGACATATCCAGGTGCGTGCGTTGCTGTTGCTTTAACTGCCATCTTCAAAGGGCATCGTAGCTAATCTTCCCGCGTGCAGTTCCCGCCGGACCGCGAAAGACGATAACGGGGTACGATGACGAGTGACGCGGGTATATGCGCTTGGAGAGAAGCAATCAGAAAGCTGTATCAACCTGTACATAGGGCGGCGTTATCCAGGCAATTGAGACAAGCCATTTCACGGCTGATGAAGACAGGCACAATGCACGCATAGCAAGGATCCGTAGATCGAGCCACTTCTCGCAGAAATACTCGGCGAATGTTGAGAATCCAAAAGCCTTAAGATGCTATGTGCCAGCCCCTATTCTATGGGTCCATCTATCGGGCAACCTGGACAAGCCTTGAACCACGTTCCTAACCTAGCCTTGCCTTTTCATACCGCAATCAAGAGTACAAATACGCCGTTTTCTCATGCTTGTCGTGTTGTCATGCTTCAAACGCTGGAACAGATCCACTTCACCAACTTCCACCCCTTTTATCGTTCTCGCTGAATCAGATTCCATTCGTACTGGAAATGTTAGCTCTTTGATCCCTCAGGGGCACATAGTACTATGTGACTTACAACTCGCCCATCGTCATCGCCGGTGTATAGTAACTGTGGCATGGTTGTAATGCATGTGATTGGAGCTTCTACATTTGCTCCCGTCTCTGATTTGGGGTCCACATGATCCAGCCTACGGAGGAACTCTAGGATCCAGCGGCCGTTCTTGCCAACGGTCTTCCGCCAGACGTTGACCCGGCCTCTGCGGTGGCCTGTGAAGACTAGGAAGTTCTCCAGCCACTCGTTCGCTGAGCCTTCGTAGAATGCGCAGGACTGGACGAAGTCGTCCTGGCCTTCTGCCCCACAGACGTTCTGCTCTAGGATGAGGTCGCCGTTCAAGCTGTAGATCAGCACGCTCGGTCCAGAGCATAGCATGATCTCGCCGGAGACGTCATTGATTCGTGCACATTCAACAGCGCGGTTCAGTGGTAGTTTGCGAATGAACTCTAGCCTGTTCAAATCCCACAGGAAAGTGGTTCCATCTTGAGAGACCGTGACAAACGTGCTGAAGGCTTTGGATACAGCGATTGTGTTGACTGGAGTTTTGTGTCCAAAGAGTGACAGCCTCGGAAGGAGCTCGACGTTTTTGCCGGAAGGGTTCTGAACGGCATAGACTGACACAACACAATCCTCACCAGCAGTGATTAGAGTCTTGGAGTCCGCGAAGATGGCACACGAAATTTGCCCCTGATGTAGATTCTCGAATAGACCCGCAGGCTGTGTTTTCGTTAGCGACCTCCGTCGGCCAGGTCTATCATTATGGCGTACCTTTCTGTTGTCACTGTGGAAGAACCGCACACTATTATCTGCATAGCCCCATTCAAGGAACTTGTCATAGATAGGAGGTATGTTTATACGGAACGGGGAGGCGCAAAGGAGACGATCGAGCTTGGGTGCATAGATAAGAGAAGCCACACGCTCATGGCTCTCTGTGTCTTCGTTAGCTCTGTCTGACAACACCTTACCGAGAAACTGCTTACCTAGAAGAGGGTAGGGAATCCTAGTCAGAGCGTTGACAGATGTATCAAGCCTCTTGATTGGGTTATGGGCATGCTCGCGTGGGGGGTGCGGTTTAGAGAAGACTTGATGGGGAGTCTGACCGAAATTGTGGATGATACCGGTTGTGATTGCTCGTTCTTGAGGATCAGTGATATTGTCCAGATCGATAGCACCATGATACGACAAATTGTGAAAGACATTCAGGTTGTCAACTGCCGCCTCTCCTCGCTGTTTGTACCCAAAGACAAGATCGATCCAATGCTGCAGGTTCTGCGTGACGTAGGGGCTTTCCAGCGCCTCACGATGCTTGGCAATGAAGATCTTGGGATCCCCCTTGGCCCAGGGCGGGAGCGCAACGTTGTCAATCTTGCCACCCTTTCCTTGCCGTACACCGAAATTGTACCCGTTGATATTTGTAAGGAAGTCAGGAAGGTAATAGAACTCAGGTATTAGCTCACGAACGTCGGTACCGTTGTCTCTAGATGCCGAGTTCCACGCCCCTTCGATGGAGTAGAACATTCTATCAGGGTGGTCAAAAGTACCGCCTTGAAGGAGAATGTACGACTGAACGAAGGGCGGCAGTCTGATGAGATAAGAACAGACAACCATTGCAGATGAGTAATGAGTGCCATAGTGGAACGGGACTTGCTCTATCTCAGCCAAACTACTATATCGCAGCATGTAGTCTGTTTGCCGAGCAACGGTCTGCGCACCCATTGGCTTGGAGAGATCTCGGAAAGTCTTGGGGTCATTCAAGTCAAGCTCCTCGCTCGTATAATCAGCCAAGATCCACGGGAAGACAGGATATTGTGTGAGATCGTTAAAAGTTCTACCAGCCATAGTGTTGACAAGCATCAGATAGTGGAAATTCGAAAGCTCCCCCTTCTGCCATCTTCTCATCGTCGGGTTCCAAGGCGAGGAGTTGAAGATGCTACCAAACTTGGATCCGAATGTCTGCGGCGCCTCGTCAAACACCCGCAAGGCCTCCAGGCGCCACGCATCCTCAGGGTTCGGTAGTGATTTTGGATCATCTGTATGAGGAGTCTTGGTCCGCAACTTGTTGTATACCTCATCTCTGGTCGCGACATTCAGTGCTGTGAGCAAGTAACTCCTGCCATCAGTAAAGAAGATCTCGATGGCCACGTCTCTGAAAAGAAAACGACGCTTCGAAATACTAATCACGTCATGCCATCTCCAGCTCCGAGACTCTTGTTCGCTCCTATTTTGGCTCGGGCGTTTGTCCACAGACTTAGATGTGCCCGTGATAATCTGGGAATACGGGTCTCTCTCCTCAGGGGGCGCTTGCCATACATTGATGATCTCGCCGTCTGCGCTCCTAAACACATTATCCATGAGATAGAGAGCCTCCTTTCCGATAATCAAGATGCCCTCGCAGGCTTCTAATCCAATGATGCGAGACACGTTGTAGACACTCTGGACGGTATCGCCATGCTCGAGCCGTCTCATGACTTTCCGATTCTTATCCTCAAAGGCATCATCCCCATCGGGATCATTGGGATCATCGACAAGCTCGAAATCATCTTCTGGCGATACTGCCTGATCTGCAGAAGAAGGGACTGCTCCTGGCTCTGCAGACAGATCGACCAACCCCTTTCTACTATCCCCTTCAAGCTGGAATGGCGTTGTTGTAGAAATTGGCGTGGCACTAATACCAGAAGATGAAGAGTTGACTTTCGTGTCAAGACGTAAGCTAGCAACTGATGGAATGGCCTCGGGTCCCTTTTTCTTCGCTTCCTTCGGCTGATACTCGTCGGAAGATTTTGAATAATCGGGAAGCAATCGCAGACGCATTCTATTCCGGCCCTCTGTCCTGTCTAGCTTCCACTTAATCGAGGTTGAGGGGCTGGCAAAGATCGCTCCAGGCCTCTTGAGCTCCCGATCCATCTTGCCGAACGACGACAAGAGGAAAGCGAGGTCGTCTTGCTGATCCTGCGCAAGGCGCTGATGCTTGAAATGCTCCGTGATGTAGATGCTCTTCATCCAAGCACCATTGGCCATCTCATGTCGCAGGAGCACGTTCTCGCGTTCGAGACCCTCGGTGTGCCAGACCTTTAGCTTCTCTTTGCGCTTCGTCAATCTTGACCTCGCAGTGTCCATAGTCCGTTGATTTTCAACGCTGACGAAATCTTCCCACGTCCGTGAGATGCCTCCTAGGAAGAGCACATCAAGTGATGGCCGATGCTGATCAACCCACTCGATGAAGGTGTCATCGTCAACTTCAGTGAGCTTCCTGAAGCCCTTCATCAACTGCAACTGGTCCGGCGTCACGAATTGTCGCAAGAGTGTGGATGTTTCCTGTGGCTTCTGCACCAGCATGATGCGCCAAATGCTGGCGGCAGCGAGCCGTATCGACTCTCGAGAATCAATGAGCTTCGCGTAAAGTTGATACCAAAGAAGCTTCATATAGTCGTCATCTGTTGTCAGACAATCCAGGAGCACGGTCTGCCAGTAAAACAGCCTCTCTAGCACCGACAAAGCCTCCTGGTCAGATACCTGGCTATCGTCCATGTCCGAGAGCCGGAGCAGGACTAGCTTCAGGAAAGACACTCTAATGGTGGCAACTGCCTGACTGCAAAGCCGGACGCTCTTCAGTGATGATATTTCTGGCCGTTGCAAATACTCAAGCACCATGCCAGTAAAATCCAGCATTGACTCCGCGCCATTCATGAACCATCCCTCGAAAATGGCTTCAACGATGTGTACGTTAAACCGTGCCATGTTTGTGAGAATCTTTGGTTCGCACAACACCTTCTGGTTTAGTTGTACAGCGCTACTAAGATGCGATATGGTATTTCGCAAGACGTAGGACTCGAAATAAGCCTGGTGTTCTTGGAAGCCTGGAGGCACCTTCAGAAATAGGCTAAACCCAGGAAACTCCTTGCGAACTAGTACTTGGTCCGTGAAGACACTGACGACAAGCTCCATAAGGCCGTCGAGTACCACGTTGCTGATTTTCTGAGCAGCAACTTTCTTCTTCGGGGACATGACGTGCGCCAGCCTCGCCGTGCTAGCTATATGCTGCTGGGCGGTCAGGAGGATGAAAGATGATGCTCTGCGCAGCTGAGTTCCTCGTGCAGATTGCGGCTGGGTCGCGGTGGCTTCTGTAGAGGCAACAGTCGATGTCCTGACTATGGGTGCTGGACCAGCCGACCCCGTTACCGGTCGAATTATCACATCACCTCCCTCAAAGGTCAGAGCCGAGTCCTTTGAGTTGAGCTCAGTCTCAGGATTGACAGGATCTGTGCTGACAATGACCGGATACAAGGCTGATAGTAAGAGCCGCACATATTCAGAAGAGAGAGCGAAATCCTGGAAGCCAACCGACCTAGAGTAAAAGTCGGCGAGAAACCGGACGACAGTCTGCAGTACGACAGCATGGTTTGTGATGCTCTCCCTATCACGTTGCCTTGTTTCTGGAGAAAAAGTCAGATATAGACGCCAGGGCTTGAAAGTTTGACTTACGTCTAGACTCAAGGGCTTCCGATAATGCCATGGATCGACCACGGGGTCTATTAACCGGCTCCGAGGTATTTGGCGAGCCCTTGGTCGGACTTGTCTCACCACCCACCGGAGAGTCGGGATCATCCTGATACTTCAAAATGTCCCGGAGGCCATGTTGAAGCATCGAGGTAATGACGGGTAAGACGTCCGGATATACCACCCGGCACTTGCCAAATACCTCTATGAGGTTGAAGAAGTCAAAGGGTCGGTCAAAGTTGATCTCTGCCACGTCATATCCAAAGAGAATGCTGAAGCAAATCGGCCACAGGGTAGATATGTCCCACCAATGCTTCAACCTATGAGCCATGATCCAGAAACCACCCGTTTTGCTGGCGAACTTGGACGTATAGCTAGACCCATGAGTGACCAAGAGTCTTGCGAGGATCTTGGTGCCGTATACGACGATCTCGGGATCATCGTCAGCTAGAAGATAAAGTAGCCACTGGCCGGAGGTTAGCGCGAAGACCTCGCTTGGTGGTTCTTTGTAGGTCACCTTATTTGTCACCGTCCTGGCGAACTTGCGAATGTCGACCAGACTGCCCTTCTCACACAGAAGAGAAGTATACAAATCTAGCATCCGCGTGCCAACTTGCTTCTTTGTCAAGGCCTTTGAGCCGACCGGCGCACTGGAATTGTCCGTTGGAACCGTAGTCCTTCGCAGAAGGTTGGGTGTGCTCGCTCCACGACTAATCGCAGATAATGGTTTGGGAGTCCGCGGCAGCGAATGAGGAACCGTATGCAGAGCGTAGGTGATGAAGAGTGCTAGAGCACGATGGACTTCTGCATTGAAGTTGCATTTGACGAGGCTCTTGAACGATGCTATGAAATGTGGTAGAATATCCTCAGATATGGTCTCAGCCTTCAACGCATCTAAGAGCCTCTTTACGATGCCTAATGTCCGTTTTAGCTACTGCTTTCAGATCAGATTTTATGAACTTACGCATTCTCAAAAGTCTACGGCTGTTGAACTGATGGTGTTTACTATTGACTGCAAACGTTACGAATTGTTTGTAGTACAACTCCTGGGTTATTGGAGCCGCCTTCCGCCATGTATCGAAGTCAATCAAGAGAATACGGTATGCTAAGGGGTTGATGATGAAAGACTCGAGCGGTTCGGCGTGCTTATAGCCAATGAAGTTCAGTATGAGACTGAGTAGTTGGAAACTGAGTCTGTCCCTCTCTTCACTTGTTATAGCAAGGCGCCATCCGAGCATCTCGGAGCCAGACAGGCTATATCCAAGCTTGGCCCTAATAAGCATGCCCAGGATGGCATAACCATTGTCACGTTCCATGGCCTCACTATTTCGCCAGCTCTTATTGATACACAGGAACATCAGCTCCATGGACCGGAGAAGCTCATCGGCAGTGGAGGATCTTTCGACGAGCTTAATGGCTACAGGAGTGAAGCCGCCCAAACGCCACAAATCGTCATCGAAGTAAAATGGTGTGGTCAACACAGGATCTCCGGTCAAGACAGCTACCCCCTGTACTCTCATCAGAGCATCGTTGACACAAGGCAATGCACCATTGATTGCAACGGCGGTGCCACTCTTAGTCGTCAACTGCATGAGATTGCTAGCTGCGTTTCTAGACAGCGATCGGAAGAGGAATGATTCGAGAAATTGGCCATCTGTACGGAATGTGGCAGTAGGCAATATGCTCATCAAGACCTTCTGTTCTGGAAGGATGCTGCTGGCCTTATCTCTGATGGCTTTCAAGATATCAGAGCCCTCTTCCTTGCCCGGATGAAGCAGCTCGTTTCTCAAGCCCAACGCTGCCGAGGCTTCATAAGTCTGGAAGCCACCAAGACAGTCTTGGAAGTTGCCTTGGTATCTTGGACTGAGCCGATAATGGACTGCGATGAAGTCATCACTGAGAACGTCCTCGAACAGGTGTGCCGAAGCAAGAGACCACTTTGAAAATATGCAGCCGGATCCAAGTTGTGTTGATAGATCACGAGGTGTACCCAAGAAAGCTTGGACAGGATGAGGTCGACTTGCGGTAGAGGTAAAGGATGCAAAACTGTCTGTGCTCCCGTTTGTCATTGGAGGTGATGAAGGATACTGCGAGCGTATCTGCTCCATGAATTCTCCATTCACATATAGTGAAGCTTTGCTGGCAGACATAGTCTTTGGTCGTCGATGAATAAGGGCAATATGGTACCATTTATTCTCCTTGAATGTGACCGACTTGAACCGGACACTAGGTCTCTGAGAAGTCACTGATGTTTGAAGAATGAAGTTGTGCGTGTCTTTTTCTAGATATGCCAGAAGGAAGCATGTTTGAGTGGCATCGAAGACACCGAAAAGAGTAGTGTGTGAATCTGGATCGAACCTATCAACTCGAACCCAGGCAGTGAAGGTATAGCCTGGAGAGGACTGGGGTGGGAATGTCCGCCCCAGCGTAGGAAGTTCAATGGAGGAGTGACCATGGAGGGAGAGGTCAAACTGCACAAAGGGAGGCCCATCATATTTGGACGTCATGTCCAGGCAGAATTCAGAAGCAATAGTGCTCTTACTTGAAAGGAGGAAGCGGGCGTCTGCTAGTTGATTTACACCAAGGTACATCAACGACCTACAGAGGTCCAAGACTCTTTGCTTTTCGTATTTGTCCAGGGGCGAGTCCTCTGTAAAGTAGAGACGTAGGAACCTCGACAAGATCCCCGTCCGATGCAAGCCGCATAAGTTGAAGAAGGAGGCGGATGCTACATTGGAAAGCGTGGCCAAAACGAGGATCGAGGCAAGATTTGAGTCACTGTCTGCATCTCTCGGTATTGACTCCCAGAAGCCCACGACTGTCCGCACGATCTCAGGGTTGTGGAGGATGGCCTTTGCTCCAATGATCTTCCGCAGCTCGCCTTCCACCGAAGAAACATCAAATACAGTAACCAGATCACTGTCTTGACTTTTGGAAAGGTCTTGCTTCTCGGTTTCGGGGCCGTCTCCATCTTGCGGCACCGATGTCGATGCAACAGACTGGCAGAGCTCGTCAAGTCTTTGGTCGTCAAGCGAAAAGGAAAGAAGCTTTCCAAATAGCTGGCAATTTGTCCAAAGATCCGAGTCACTTCCCCCGAGCCCGATGCTCGCAATTATTTGTTCCAGAGCTTCCCAGCCGCCGCCTTCGACCCTATGTCTGAAATATCTCCTGTTTCCGTGATGTTGCCGGAATGTTGCGGAGAACACGGCGAGGACGATGTGCAGGAGCTCGAAGAAGCCCTTCTTTTCCACTACACTCCTCTTCTGCGGATTATAGAAGCCAGAGAACGCTCGCAAGATGTCTAGCATGTTCTGAAAGCCGCCGAGATGGCGGAAGTCATCCTGGGCGGGACACGGTGGGTTTGTGGCCGCGACATGCTGGTGTATCTGCCGCCCCAGCTGCACGAGCAGTTTGATGTCTGGATATGCTGGACTCGTCGAGGTTCGCAGCACCGAAGCCACGCGGTCGAAGAGGCCCTGCAATACTTCTGTGGCTTTGGTGGTGGTCGGCGGGGTCGAAGCCGAAGTCGAGGATCGATATCGACGCGGTCGGGAAGCCATCTTGTATTCCCAATGTGCCCGAGGGCAATCACGATGTATGTTTTCTCAAGGGCTCGTCATATCAAGCTTGAATGCACAGAGCTGGGCTTCTAGCGCCCGCCCATCGAGGGTCTAGAGTGCAGGCAGCCCCGTGCTGCATGAAAGCTGGATGGAGGGGGAGGGTCTTGTTGGAAGCAGCTTGCTTTCGGTGCGATTTCCACGGCTTGGGTCGGGAGAAGTGTGGTGTTCGTTTATAATTATTGTAGCTTGATGCACCATATGCAGTGCAATGTGGTCAAGCGTGGTTTGGCAGCTATCTTCAACAAGAAACATCAAACGTCAAAGGAGCAAGGAGCTGAAGGTGTCAGCCTTGAGAGGTGTGGCTTGTTGGTGGGGCTGGCTCGCCCAACTGTGGTAGTGGCCTCGTGCATCTAGGCATCTAAGACCCCAAGCCTTCAAGTCTACAGACGACATCTTCTCGCCCAATGATACGTCTCTTACCTCTTCACACCTACTGCATTCCCATGTATTAATTTAGCCATGGCCGCTTGAATGATGCTGGATATGAGAGATCCAAGAAATTACATCAAACAATGTTCTAGTAGGCTGGGCCATCTCCTGAACTCATAGATGCCTACCGCCACATAATTGGCAATGTGAATAACTAGTTTTATAGTGTATACACAGAGGTGAAGTGTCACATGTAGGGATCGAAGAAGAGAGAGAGAACTGAATCTTGTAAATTGCCGTCATCCCAAAGAAGTCTGTATTGATAGCAGCGCAAGTTGCGTGGTACTACTCGGAACCGAAACACGCCGCTAATCAACCAATTTGAGTGCGCTCTCAATAACTCGTGGAAGGTTTCTAAAAGTCTAATGGTTTCTTCCAGCTGTGTCAACTGTTAGATTAGTGACTGTTAAGCCTTTGAAAGGTTGTCCCAGTAAATGACTTGTGCATATCATTGCGAGATGCCAGCAAGATCTCCGGCTTGTCCATTAAAACCGATGATGCAATGATTCAGACAAGCAACCAAAGACTTGGAGAAGAGGTCGGCTTGTGGTTAGCGAGCCTTGGAAGCTTGAAGGCCTAATAAGTGTCTAGGCTGCAGGCTGTAGCGAACCCCTGTCGCTCCTGGGCTCTCCCAGCTAGCACCTATTCTTGGAACGGCAGCCGCCGGAAAGGGAGCTCCATAAGCTGGCTCCCTTGTTTTGAGTCATGGAGAGAAGCGAGCAGCGAGAGAGCCAGACTCCCAGCGCACTTTGGAATGAATTGCCAGAACACAGATGGACAGTCGAAGGCGAAGACATTGACCGAGCAGGTGTGCAATTGCAGGGCCGGTCAGTGGTGGATGGTCTGGAGAAGTCTGCTACATTGTCTGGGGCGTTCAAGTCATCCGGAGCTCTGAGTCCATACCGAGAGACAGCTTCGGGAGGAGCAGATCTCACAAGCTGATGCAGCTGGTCTGCCTAAAGCAAGGTACTACCGGTACACTAGAGGTACCTCGAGAGTGGCATGGCACGCATGGGATCAGTTGAGGCACGTGTCCGTCTTTGCACAGTTAAGCACGTTAATAAGGTGCACACATCTGACCGGCCCATCTGAGTCGAGTCGCCCCCGCAGGACTGCGTGTGTGGTGAAGGTGAAGCTACAATGAGTGGCTGGGAGGACTCCAAACAGCCAAGGTTGAAGCTTCCGCGCCTCGTCAAGCCGCCTCGGGAGTTTCCTACTCGCGGGCACTGCTGCGAATGGATGCAGGGGGCTCTAGAGATCTCGTTGAGATTGTTTACCCTGGTGATGTCGTTCCAGCTGCATTGATTCAAGCAAGCCGAGGCGTCCTGGGAGCTATCTACATGTACCTACCTCTATCTATCTACGGAATGACTAAATGACTGGCCTCGAACAGTAACAGGGGGAGCTCGGGTGGATTACGCTACGTACCCCGCGCCACGGCAACTCAGGCAAGTCGAGGCTGGCGTCGGATCGGATGATACTGTAAGACCGGACGGACAAAGGAGTGCGTACTTGTCTCGCTGTCTCGCTGTCTCAATGTGTCTTCTCAACAGATTGAGCATCGTAATCGTAGAGGGTCATAGACTCGTCTAAGCACACATAGTCTATCGTATTTGATGACTGATAGATAGATGGATGGATAGCTGTTCGCCTCGCCTCGCCTCACGCGGCATCCGGTATCGTTGACATTGACAATGAACTCCCTGTTGGTGTGCTCATCAGTGGAACTGCCTGCCAGCGCCAGCTAAGCCGCCCCGTTGTTTCTTATCGGAGGTGGCCAGGTAACTCAAACAGGTACAGCACTGTACTTCCAGCTTATCGCATTGCTGAGGGAACCTCGTGAGCCAGACATCAGTGTTTCCGGCGACGCGCTTGTCCGTTTTCGGCGACTCGCAAGCCACATCAACCCCCGTGATTGGCCTGGACTGGTCCCGCTTACAGTTAGGTAAGTGGTAACTACGGTATCCACAAGGTGTTATCTGTACCTACTGCTACTGCTAGGTCCTACAATAGGTCGCTAGCTGCGTAGCCTCCAGCGCTGCCTCTTCCCTCTTCCCTCTTTCCTCTGACGCAGGGCCCTGCAGATGTCCCTGGTTGCCTTGGCGGGCTGCTGACTGCCCCAGTGACCGCCCGCCGTATGATGAGGAACCCCCCCCCCCCGTCCTGCTTCGGCTGTGTCTCGTTCGTCATCCTAGTGGTGGATTGCGGACGCTTTATCTACCCCAGAGCTCCCACCCATCCTCGTCCGTCCGACACAGCTCTCTCCTCCTCCTCCTCTCATCCGTCTTTCCCATCATCATCGTCTTTCCTCTACCCAAAGTCCATCCTCATCGGCGTGGTCTGAAGAAGCAGTCGTCTCCATTTGCAGAGGCATCGAATCCGGCATTCATTTCTCGGTTTCTGTGTTTGGTTTCTTGTTTCATCGTCGTCGTTATCGCACCTGTCGCTGCTAGTCAGTCCGACATCGCCTCCTCCCTCCTCTGCCGTTTCCGTTCCTTTGCCCCGTTTCCCACTTCACAATGAGAGGCTTCATCGCTCTCTCGCTCGCAGCCTGCGCTGCAGCTGCACCGGCCTTCGGTGTCGACACCATCCACGGTGGTGCCGCTCCGATCCTGTCCTCCACCAACGCTGAGACCATTCCAGACGCTTACATCATCAAGTTCAAGAAGCATGTCTCGGGCTCCTCTGCTTCTGACCACCACAGCTGGGTCCAGGAGATTCACTCTTCTCGTGAGCAGGAGCGTGTTGAGCTGCGAAAGAAGCGCTCCCAGTTCCCCATTGTTGACGACGTTTTCAATGGCCTCAAGCACACCTACAAGGTCGGCGAGCACTTCATGGGCTACTCCGGCCACTTCGATGAGTCTGTCATCGAGCAGATCCGGAGGCATCCCGATGTAAGTCTTCCAAAAATGTCATTTCAGCATCAAAAATCATCTCTACACACACTCGCTCCTTCCTTATCCTTGTGCATCATTGAGCACATACCGTAGCCCTGAATCGTTATCGGCCACCGGGTGGCGATACCGGTCCACGTGTCCATCCACACCAACACACACCTAGTGTGAACCCCGGCTAACAGCATCACAAACAGGTCGAGGCCATTGAGCGGGACTCCATCGTCCACACCATGAGCTATGTCGAGGAGAAGAAGGAAGACTGCAGCCCGGAGACCGAGAAGATGGCCCCATGGGGTCTGGCCCGCGTCTCCCACCGCAAGCCTCTGTCCTTCGGAACCTTCAACAAGTACCTCTTCGCCGACGAGGGTGGTGAGGGTGTCGATGTCTACGTCATTGACACTGGCACCAACACTGAGCACGTCGATTTCGAGGGCCGCGCTCACTGGGGCAAGACAATCCCCGCCAATGATGAGGATGTCGATGGTAACGGCCACGGAACTCACTGCTCTGGCACTATTGGTGGCAAGAAGTACGGTGTTGCGAAGAAGGCCAACATCTACGCCGTCAAGGTTTTGAAGTCTAACGGCTCTGGTACCATGTCAGACGTTATCGCCGGTGTTGACTTCGCCGCCAAGAGCCATCTGGAGCAGGTCAAGAAGGCCAAGGACGGTAAGCGCAAGGGCTTCAAGGGCTCTGCTGCCAACATGTCTCTCGGTGGTGGTAAGACTAGCCTGCTCGACCAGGCTGTCAATGCTGCTGTTGCTGCTGGTATTCACTTCGCCGTCGCTGCCGGAAACGACAACGCCGATGCCTGCAACTACTCCCCTGCTGCCGCTGACAAGGCCGTCACTGTCGGTGCTTCTGCTATCGATGACAGCCGTGCCTACTTCTCCAACTGGGGCAAGTGCACTGACATCTTCGCCCCTGGTCTGAGCATCCAGTCCACCTGGATTGGCAGCAACACCGCCATCAACACCATCTCTGGTACCTCCATGGCTTCCCCTCATATCGCCGGTCTCCTTGCCTACTACCTGTCTCTTCAGCCTGCCAGTGACTCCGAGTACTCTCTTGCCGAGATCACCCCGGAGAAGCTTAAGGCTAACCTCCTGAGCATCGCCACCGTCGGCACCCTGACTGACATCCCCAAGGACACCCCCAACCTGCTGGCCTGGAACGGTGGTGGCTGCAGCAACTACTCTTCCATCATTGAGGAGGGCAGCTACACCGCTGAGCGCTCTGATGACTCTGATGTCCTCTCCTCCGTCTCTGAGCTCGAGAAGGCTATTGAGCACGACTTTGAGGTCATCTCCGGCAAGGTCACCAAGACCGCCTCTTCCTGGTCTAGCAAGGCCGAGAAGTTCTCCCAGAAGATCCACGATATCGTCGATGAGGAGCTGAAGGAGTTCTTCGAGGAGGTCACTGCCTAAATGGGTAGAGAGCCGGTTCCCTTCAAGGCGCAATTCTGTTAAAGTGTGTGCCCTTTTGAGATGCCATACGGGTAATGGAGACGGGTCAGCATTGGCTTTTTTGCATATTAGGATTATTCGGGAGGCGATGCCTGTTTCGCATTAGGGTTTCCTTGTAGTGTTTTCGGTACGCAAACAACGGGCATAGTTCGACCGGTTTACACTTGCGTTACTGGCTGGCATGGTAGCATATCTCCATAGTCCAACGTTCTCTCTCGTCTTATACAAATGTCAGATCAATTTCCTTTCTCTCCTCTGAATGCTGAGATCCATTGTCCTTGAAGTGACTTGTTACCGAGCCAAAGCTCTTGGATATGATTACATGCAGGTGCGGCATTGGTAGATCACCCTCAGGGCCCTGATTGGTTCGGGCGCTGTGAGTCCACGACATGAAAGCCAAGGACGAGCACACATACGGTCTAGAGCATATAGGCTTCCCATCATAGCTTCCTGGTGGTCTGCAGTCTTTCGCTGTCCCTCACACGTTCTAATAATCTCCTGCAGGTGCGGAGATGACTTGACGATTCTGCAAACAGACTTGAAAAGCTGCTGATGGATAAGTAGTCATATTGGTGTTGCAACAAGATTGCTATTTGAGCAAGACCATACAGTATGAACCAATTTGCCCACAGCACGTATTCTATGCTATCAAGTTAGGTAGTTCCGCCTTGCATCCAGTCGTATATGACCAAGATGAAACATATATTCTAGCACAGCGGATGACTTCTGCATGTCATTTGTCGCCCAAGTTCAAAGACTTTTGGTGCTATCTCATACAAGCAATACTCATAAATGATCTTAAAGATTTATTCTTGGACCACCATTTATCCTATGCATGTATGAAGAAAAATCATATGTTTAACCATATATTTGAAGGATCACAAGTCTGCCATGAGACTGGAAACCTCGATATTTCAAATGGAACATTGAGGTGCTGAGGAGCTTGTGAGGATGCACTCAGACTTTGCCATTAAACGTTCAGGAGACATGACGGTGGCTCTCAATGGATATATCTTAACTAGTCTCACAGAGGTCTGTTCACTGTCAGCGTGAATCAAGTGTGGAGGTATCTCTATAGGCAGCTCCAACGATGAGTCAAAAGCGTGCTCAGTCATTTTATACCCAGAATCATCAATATTACGACAAGGTCCCTCCTTAGAGATGTAGCTAAGACAGAATTCAAGGCCGAACGTAGAACAGCCGGAGATCTCTTTGCGGTGAACTATATACAGTGAACATGTGATCCAAAATAGCGCTTGTTGGGAGTTGACTGCTACCTCGTGTTCTTTTCTTGAAGGGAGTATGAGCGGTGAACATCCCCTCAAGCCGAGTGGTAGTCTACGACCAATCGGCGCAGGTTCGACACGGGAGCCCAGTCCAGAAGTGGCCTCAGCCTCACGAGGGAACACTACAAGCCAGGAGGCACACATGAAATCGCCTAACTGAGGCGAACCGGACCGACTTCGAGCAATGTGGCGAAAAGGCCATGTCCGATTGGCGCATGCCGGCACAACCAATGGGCCGTGAGGACTGCGGCTCTGTGCGGCTCTGCGAGGCTCTATGAGACCCTGGTAAACTCAGAAGCCACCTTAGCACATTGTTTACGATTAATAAATAACCCTTCGGACGCGGCTCCCATGAGATAGCAAAAGAGCCGCGTTCACAATCAACTTGAATCATCTTGAGTCGACTCTACGTGGGCTTGCGCGTCTGCGCTGCTTAAAACCAGTTGTCCACGCACGTGGGAGACATGTGAGTGATCCAACAATGTCCCTACAAGACGTCCTTCATTCTATCCCTTGCTGATAATGACTTTGCAGCCCAGTTCTATATTGAAAAGCCCGCAAGAAAATTGCTGGCGACGATGGACGACAAGTAGTATCTCCTCTCATCCCTCCTTCATTGGAGGTGTATGCGGCAGTGATCAAGCCGAGGATTGGCAAGGCACTTTCTTTTGGGACAACGAACTCGCCAATTTATGTCGCAATGAGACTCACCCAAGTCTTCTTGGAAGCGCCTGGCCACCCGATCCTTCAGAGTGCGATGACCAGAAGCAACGAGAGGAGCAGACGGGAGGCAAATGGCATGACGTCTACACCAGTCATAGGGCGTTCGAGCGGGCAACAACAACACTTGATAATAACGCTAGATTGGTATACTCTTTTGGCGATGCCACGCTCCATGATTCCCAGGTGTCGGATTGGGCCATGCCAAGTTTTCCTATATCGGATTACCTTCACAGCAGTATCCAGAGGTCCATACCCAACCTTGGTTCACTGCCATCTCCTTTACCAGCACTCACCGACTCGTCATTAGAGACACCAGTTACAACCTTAGTCGATACTCCTTGCTCGTCGACCATCAACTTGGGAATGCAGGTGGACTTACTTTCTCATAAAATATCCAGTGATGAAAGTGACAACAATTTACTCACGGCATCACGGTAGGAACGTCCCCTTCTTTGCAAAAGAGATGACTGTCTGATTGATCTCATCACAAAGATTTACAAATATAGAGGGCATACGTTGTACAAGATGTAATATAGTATTTCAATCGAGGAGAGACCGCCAACGCCACAACGATACAGTACATATAGGGCGCATGTTCACCTGTCCTCGCTGTTTCAAGATGTTCAAGTATAGAGCAGATAATATCAAACGTCATAGGGAGAAGTACTGTAAAGCTGGCCATAGTAGAGCAGTATCAGCAGCATATCCACCTGACAGTTGCCGTCCTGAGAGTAATGATCGAGCTGCATCTCTGTTTTGGGTGTAGGCTATAGTCGGATCATGGAGGATTTTCCATTATGATATGGAGCTCTGGCCGACTGGAGTCCTTTTTCGATTGAGAGACAGTCTCGTATCAACAGACTTCTCTCTAATAGGGTATCGTAAGGGAGAAATCCGGACTTTTTCCAGCTTCAGTCAATCTTCATTTTAGTTACATTTTCTTTGCTCGGAATACATCAATGACAATGAACCCGAGCAGCAATCATATACCTGGAAATGCTCTAGGAGGCGCGAGGCGCGGATGGCGTGTCTTTGTGAATAGAACTTGAAAGGCTGGTTATCACTTGGATCCAAATACGTTGACTACTGCTGGTATTCCTCTATACAATTACGCAACAGTAATGCCGAAGGCGCTACTGCTCTTCTATTCGTCAAAGACGTGACCCGCAAGATTTATTCTTGGGCATAGAAAACTATATGCTGTGTTCGGATGTGCCTTGCACGTAGTGGGTTCTTTGTGTACTGAATTGTATGTCCATCTACTCAATTTGATCTTGGTAATGTAATGGAGCTCGATAATTCTGAGTAAATGTCTTTCCGCAATTTAATAGAGTGGTCTCATCTCAGCAACTATTGCACATGTTACTCATGATAATGTGCTGTATTGTAGCTAAAATCTTCTCAACATATGGCTTTCTGTGGTCAATAGCTCATCAATCACCAGTGCGAAGTTTCAGGGAATTTTTGCCCCGAGAGTTTGTGTCTAGCACCTGCTTTAGCAAACCAGAACAACTACAATGCTACAGCACAGAGAAATTTGAGGTGCATCCGCTTCTGCCCGAAAAGCGTGCCCTATTGGTGCATACGGGATTGACATGCATGTCGGTACAAATATCTGGCCGCGAAGACTGCAGATCCGACGGACTCAGAGCCTCGCGCACCAAGTAAGCTTGGCATAATTACATATAAAGAGCTCTTCTCTACCGGCACCCATACAGTATTTTCCCTCCTTCACCTTGACATTTCAAATCGTTCATCGAGAATATCATTAGTCACGCCGAGACTTCAGCAGCGGGGAAATGTTTTACGCAATCACAGCAGTTTGCTTGATTCAGCAGCCGGCGAGAAGGGCCCCCATTCACAGAGACTGCTTCCGACCTGGAATCATTCCGACCTAGAAATAGACGTCGCAAGAGTGCACACTCCGAATCCAGGTCGTCAAAATGGAGTTCAACATCGAGTGAGCGGGCGGATGTGGCTTTCGCAAGACCTGACCCTCATGGCTGACCGTGGCTAACATGGCAACAGCGATCTGCCTGTTCTCTTTCCCTACCCCCGCATCTATCCAGGCAGGTCTCATTCTCGTCCTCGAATATGTCATGCTCTCTACTAACGTGTCGTTAGAACAATATGCGTACGTCATCGCTGCTCAAGAAGCATCTGCATGCAGACTTAGCTGACACAGAAAACTTCTCTGCAGCTACATGGTAGACTTGAAGAGTGAGCAAGCTTCTGTCTACTGGTTGGTCGTTGTTGACACGCGTCAGGGACTCTCGATGTCGGTGGGAAGTGTGTTCTGGAGATGCCGTCGGGTACAGGGAAAACTGTCACGCTTCTATCCCTCATCGTGGCATATCAGCAGTACTACCCGTCCCACCGAAAGCTCATCTACTGCTCCCGTAAGCCGTCGCGACGCGACTACAAGCGCCAAGCAAGCCAGTCCACCATCGCTGACCCTTTGTCTTAGGAACAATGTCCGAGATCGAAAAGGCTCTGGTCGAGCTCAAGGGGCTCCTCAAGTTCCGTACCGAGAGGCTCGGATACGAAGAAGAATTCAGAGGTCTTGGGCTCACTAGCCGGAAGAATCTCTGTCTACACCCGTCTGTAAAACAGGAGAAGAGCGGTCACGTTGTAGATGCGCGCTGCCGTAGTCTAACAGCCGGCTTCATCAAGGAGAAGAAGGAAAGAGGGGAGCATGTCGAGGTCTGCATCTACCATGACGTGTGTCTATCCTGTCTCCGCGTTTGTCGATCTAGGTGTGCTAATCTGCACTCTTCAGAATCTCGACCTTCTCGAGCCCCACAACCTAATTCCCAATGGCGTCTGGACACTGGATGGCCTTCTGCAATACGGCGAGCAACACAAACAGTGCCCTTATTTCACCTCCCGACGAATGGTTTGTAACCCGCGATCCAACTTTTGTGCCACTATATCCTAACCTCAAGTAACTCCTTAGATGCAATATTGCAATGTCATTATCTATTCGTACCATTATCTCTTGGATCCCAAGATCGCCGAGCGCGTCTCCAAAGAGCTGTCCAAGGACTGCATTGTCGTATTTGACGAAGCTCACAACATTGACAATGTCTGTATCGAGTCTCTGAGTACAGACATTACCGAGGACTCGTTGAGACGAGCTACGAGGGGTGCCGAGAGCCTAGAGAATAAGATTAACGAGATGAAAGAGTCGGACCAGCAGAAGCTGCAGGACGAGTATGAGAAGCTCGTTAAAGGGATCAGAGGAGCCGACGACGATGGCCACCAGGAAGATTCCTTTGTGGCCAATCCCAGTATGCCTCTCACCTGGAGCTACCGGGTTCCGGTCGGTCTTGGCTAACTGCTTGCCATAGCTCTTCCAGACGATCTCCTCAAGGAGGCTGTTCCGGGCAATATTCGTAGGGCAGAGCACTTCATCGCGTTTCTCAAAAGGTTTATGGAATATCTCAAAGTCAGTTGCTACAATGGTCCAGACTTCAAGTTGTACTATGTCTTACTGACTGGCCCAGACGAGGATGAAAGTACGGCAGGTGATATCAGAAACACCACTGTCCTTTCTAGCACACCTCAAAGAGTATACCTTTATCGAAAAGAAACCTCTTAGGTTTTGTGCAGAGCGATTAACCTCGTTAGTAAGGACACTGGAGCTTGCCAATATCGAGTATTACCAATCACTGCAAGAAGTCGCCACATTTGCGACTCTTGTAGCAACATACGAGAATGGTTTCCTCCTGATTCTTGAACCATATGAATCTGACACAGCTGAGGTACCAAACCCAGTTCTACACTTTACGTGTCTAGATGCTGCTATTGCCATCAAGCCTGTTTTTGACTGGTTCAGCTCTGTCATTATTACCTCAGGAACTATCTCACCGCTAGAGATATACCCCAAAATGCTCAACTTCTCTACTGTCGTCCAAGAGTCATATAGTATGACATTAGCAAGAAGATCCTTCTTACCTATGATTGTCACTCGAGGAAGCGACCAGTCGTCAATATCTACTAGCTTCCAAGTCCGTAATGAGCCTAGTGTGGTCAGAAACTATGGTAATCTTTTGACTGAGTTTGCGAGGATCATACCTGATGGTATGGTCGTCTTCTTCCCTTCCTATCTTTATATGGAGTCTATTATCAGTATGTGGCAGGGCATGGGTATCCTGGATGAGGTATGGAAGTACAAACTTATCCTAGTTGAGACCCCAGATGCGCAAGAGACGTCACTTGCGCTGGAGACGTACCGAACTGCCTGCTGCAATGGCCGTGGTGCTGTGCTGTTATGTGTCGTACGTGGCAAAGTGTCGGAAGGTATTGACTTTGACCACCAGTACGGTCGTACCGTTATCTGCATGGGCATACCGTTCCAATATACCGAGTCTCGTATCCTTAAGGCACGTCTTGAGTTCCTGCGCGAGACATACCGCATCCACGAAAACGACTTCCTCTCGTTCGACGCCATGCGCCATGCCGCTCAGTGCCTGGGCCGCGTGCTACGCGGGAAGGACGACTATGGCCTGATGGTGCTCGCTGACCGCCGCTTCCAGAAGAAGTGTGCCCAGCTACCAAAATGGATCAACCAGGCGCTACTCGACGCCGACACGAACCTCAGCACCGACATGGCGGTTGGCAGCGCCCGCCGCTTCCTCAAGACCATGGCCCAGCCGTTCCGCGCCAAGGATCAGGAGGGCATCAGCATGTGGAGCATAGAGGATCTGAAGAGGCACCAGGAGAAGATGTTTGACGATATGGTTACAGGCGACGTTGATATGCTAGAGAAATGAGGACTTGAGAGTGGAGTGGGAACGATATATGTCGGTTGAAGTTGTGTATGAAGCATCTGGCTTGATTGAGTAACCCCTCAGCCTTGGCCGCCTTAGGTAGCAGCTACAGCACGGTTGATCTATTCATCTCTACCTGATCTCCAACCAAACACCAATAAACCAGATAACAGTCAGTCAGCAGTGATTCTCCTTGGAGGTCTTTTGAATTGACGGTGTCACAGGCTGTCAAATGGAACCAGGTCTTAGAAGCACTAAAGGATCCAAAATACTGGTGTCTAGCCTATTCTTCTTTGCAGAGGCTTACACAAACGCTGGGATTACCAACTTCAACCCTTTAATCATATCGGGCTACGGTTTCTCGAAGGCTAAAACCGTTTTGATGGCCACTCCTCAAGCAGCTGTTGCCATGGTTTCTCAAGCATCGTTGACAGTCATCACTTTGTGGATTCCCAACATGCGTTGCATATTCTGGGTCATTTCTTGTGGAATCGCTATGGCTGGTGCAATAATGGTCAAAACTTTGGATCCTGTGGCAAACAGAAATGCCTCACTCGCTGGAGTCTACCTGATGGGCTTCTACAATGTTTCTTGGGTGATGGCGCTGAGCCTCCAATCTTCAAATGTTGTGGGCATGACTAAAAAGAGTTTTGTTTCAATCTCAGCGGCTGTCTTTTATGGTATATCTCTTCCTTTTCGGTATTTGCACATTCTGCTAACCTTTATCTTCAGCGGTTGGTAACATAGTGGGCCCGCAGTTCTTCCGCGACAAGCAGGCGCCTCACTATCCTCTAGGCATTGGCGCTATGCTGTGCGCATTTGCGGTTATGATGGCAACGGGTATCCTATACGCGACCATTTGTGCCATGGACAATAAGCGGCGTGATCGCAAGTATGGCAGCATGGACAAGGAATGCACTCAGTCTACCACGGCTCTTAATGTGATCCCTGATGACATTGCCGACAAGAAGAATGAGTTGTTCCGTTATACATATTAATCCAAGCAATATGTCCTCTTGTGATATGTCGGGCAGAGTGTTGAACAGTTGTTAATATAGATTTTAGAGCACCTTGTGCAGGCCTCAGAGTGAAGACGTAAAGGAGGGAGGCAATAGTATTCATTGAGCTATCTAGCTATATCTCGATTGGACTAATATAGAAGATTCTCAAAGTTGCCGGGGAATTGAATTTGCCTGTCTCTTTAACTCAGTTTGAAGGCAGGGATAAGCAGTAGGTCAGACAATTAGCCACCAACAGGCCACGGAGAGTGATACATATAGGCGGGAGGGGATAGGGAAAGCAAAACACCGTAGGTATACGGCCTTCCATTCGGTCCCATCATGCAAACTGCTACAGAGACCTGTCATTCCGAAAGGGTCCATGGCCAGGAACCTTGGGGTTACCCAGGACTACTATATATAAAGAGCCGGGTCCGGCATGCTGCGGGGACGGCGATCCTAGAGAAATCACCTAGAAAGGGCTTCAGGTAGTGTTGCAATGTACCAAAGTTTTCTTATTATCAGACATAAACGTTTGAACCTTATGATGTATATTGTTTATATCATAAGTATTACAACACTTATATCGACGATGCCTTCCCTCTCATGCCACCATCAAACGGATAGCCAGTCTTTGGTCACATGCGGGTTGACGATGTCGAACTTGAAATATGGCGCTATGTCACCTAGTCTTTGAAGTCTTGCGCACACAAATATATAGTCAAGTCCTCGTTTACACTCACCGCTGGGTTGAATTATATCCCTGGTCAGGTCCACAGACATGTCCACGTCCCTCGCGCCAGAATCTGGTCCATCCGAGACGTTATTATCTGTCATTGAACGGCTTTCGTCCTCACACTATCACACTGCCGCCAATTAAGCTAAGTACTTTTTCAAATCTATCACAAACAGCTACTTTCAAATTGAGTTAGGTCATGAATACACAGGCTGAGGTAGCAGTAAACACCCTTCTCTTGACCACTTAGCCTATAACTAATCCTTCTCTCCAAATGTTGATAAACATTTTCCGCTTATATGCCCAGGAACACTCATTTAGTTGGCTTGGAGTGTAAAGCGTAGATTACCACAGTCAATACGAGTCCATATAAACCAATCACCATGGTAGGACTGCCAATCTTTAATCGAATTCTTCAGGCAGCTTTCTTGATTATAGTCTCCCTGAAGACACATGATTCCCTGCGTAGTGGCTGATAAACATTTCCGGTCGCCATTGTCGTTGAGCTGAAGCTTCTTCACCGCACCAAAGGGATCGTACTTGTTGTCTATCCAGCGGCCTGCGTCAGTGTTGTGGGTGCAGGTGCACAAACGCGGGGCGATATCTGCCGGGGCAGCAGCGACAAAAGGGGCTAGCAGGCCGATTGAGAAGACGGCGAGGTAAGATGTGATCTGCATATTGCTTGAAATACGAGTCTATTACGGATGAGCATCCTTCACCGCACACGATTCAGACGTGCCATCCAGTGCGCGGATTATACACTTACGAGAAGTTGTTTACTTATGAATTTGAGAGAATGTATTGAATCGCGGGGAGTGGAGGGGAGTCGTTGATGATGCTGGGTTCTAATCTGGTTGAGACTTGGAAAAGATTTTCTGGGACTTTCCAGAAGCCAGACTTGATATACACCTGAAAGCGCTTATTTAATTGTTCGAGTTGTTTTCTTCTATATTCGGTATCTCGTATCAAGTCTTTGGGTGGAGATCGTGGCTATATATTGAAACAGGGCAGC